TCATTTGGTCAAATTTAGACTCAAAAGAATTTTTATTTAAGAAAGTTTTTATTTGAACGAATTTTTATTCAAAACAATTTTTATTTAACAGAAATTTTATTTATAAACATTTTTATAAAATTTTATAAACTAAAATTGACATCTTTAATTTTATATCAAAATTCAACTTCGTGAACCAATAAATGTTGAAATTGATTATAAATTAATTTAAATAAGTTATTTCAAATAAAAAAAGGTTAAATAGAAATCCTCCCAAAAATCTCGTCGAATAAAAATTTCGATTACTGAATAATTCCGTGGAATGAAAATTCGACTAAAAGAAAATTAACAATTAAATTTAACTAAAAGAGAATTCTGTTCGAAAATTTTGACAAAAAGACAAAAAACATATTTTTGTTACAAGAATAGAAGAATATTATTTTTTTCTTTTTTCTTCTTTTTAATTATCTCAAGTCATTGATTTATCAGTTTCCTTTTATCTCAACATGCGCAATGTAATCTCCACATTGCAATTCCGGTATTATTTACAATCCAGTAATATATCGCATATTTCCTTTTTAGAAAAAAAAAAAAAAGAATTCGCATTGTCATTCTGGTTCATGAATAAATTTTTTTTCCACAATAATTAGTGTTACTCAATAAGGTGTAAAAAAATTACACAATCCTTATCTAATAAATTGTGAAATTAACTTTACCGCATTATATACATTCAGTTTATACATATTTGTTATAAATAAAAGATTAATATACATTTTCCTAGTGTGTTAATACTATTTTAAATAAATAAAAAAAATTGTGAAATCAACGTTTATATTAAATAAACAATGATGTAATATTGATAATAAAAATGTAAAGCACGTGGATGAAGAAAATAAAAAGAAAAAAGGAATTTTAATTTTTTCACTTTTTTGCAGAAAAAATATAATTATCTCTCTTATGGAAAATTTTATTTTTAGTATATTTATTACATCGTCTGGGATTTATAAATTCTGTCCATTATATGACAAACGTGAAACTTGTCATGTATTCACGCCATTATACTTTTGTTGCCGTTTATTTATAGCACGATGACTTTATCGAGCCAATGAGCCAATAAATATCGACAATCGTCATATACTTTCTCTATTTTTTTCTTTTTAAATATTCTCTCTCTCTCTCTATCTTCGTCACTTTTTCAAATTAAATTTTGATTATTGTTAAAATAGTTCATCTGTCTCGTTTGAGTAATAATTATTATACTGGTCTTGAAAAATAAAAAAAAATCCTCGCCTAATAATCTCGAGTCAAGGACACTGTGCCTTTTAGACTCTTTTAGGCAGAAAAAAATTTATTTAAAAAAAAAACTCTATGAAAATATTAGTATTACAAAATATTAATATTAATAGAAATAATAAAATGATCTTTGTAATAAACACAGGGTTTGAGAGATTCAATTAATAAATAATGAAATATAATATAAGAAAACAGTACAAGGTCTGTGGATTAGATAAATAAAAATTGTGATTGTAAAATATTTATCTTCATCAGTGGAGTATATAAAGTGTGCGTCTGGATAAAAAGAACGTGTTAAATATAATAATTGTGATTGTCAGTTTTTAAATAGAATATATCGGCTACTAACATTTCAGCATGTGTGTATAAATACATTGAAAAAAAAAAGAAAAAAAAAATAGAGAGGATGCGTTTCAGGTCTAGAATCTTACTTGCCGAGGAATCGTTGAGAATGATAATCATGCTGCACCTAGTTTCGCTCCGAGGCATATAAACATTGGAATCTTTCAGGGAAAGGGAACACCTTTGTCTCTGGGAAAAAATTTACAATGTTGTAATTTTGCAAATGACTTTAAAGTCTCATATACAAGAAAATATTTCTATAATCGCACAATAAATATTCATTTTTTTCAAAAGGGCATATTTTATACTACAAAACAATAATTATAATTATAATAGAAATAGACATAATAATGCTAATAATAATAATTTATTTATTTCAGTTTCGACGGACAAAAAAGTCCTTAACAATAAAACTCTAGAAAACAAAATAATCGTAATATACTACTTGCCTAACATAATTTTTCTAAGGATATGAAATTGAGACAAAAAACTTATCAAAATTGTTGCGATGCAACAATGTAACAAATTCTTCTTTAAAATTCAATTATTTTTTAAAATTTTAATACAATTGTTGGCAAAATTTCAATTATTTTCAAAAATTCAATGATTTCAATATCTATTTTAATAAAATTTTTCAAAAGAATTCAATTATTTAAAAAAAATTTTAATAAAATTCTACGCAAACAATTAATTATTTTTGTAAAATAATGAAAATTTCATAGGAATTCAATTATTTACATATATTTTATTTTTATTAAAATTGTATTGTAAATAATTTATTTTTTTTAAGGAATTTTATTAAAATTGTATTGAAAATCATTGAATTCTTTTGAAAAATTTTATTAAAATTGTTTTGAAAAAAGCTAATATTCTCCAAAATTCAATTATTTTTAAAAATTTAAATTCAATTCTTGGCAAAATTTCAATTATTTTCAAAAATTTTTCTCAATTTAATGATTTTCAATATCTACTATTTGAATAAAATTTTCCAAAGAAATTCAATTATTTTAATAAAATTCTACGCGAACATTTAATCATTTTTGTAAAATAATATTTAATAGAATTAATTTAATACAATTTTAATTGAATTCCTCGAAAAATGTAATTATTCTTGAAAATTTTTATTAAAATTCATCCAAGGAATTCAATTATTTAAAAATTTATTAATAGAATTCTTCATGAGAATTCAGTTTTAAAAAACATTTAATTATTTAATAAATTATTTAGTTTTGTATTTAAATAATTGAATTCTCGTAGAATTTTCTATTAAAAATTGATTTAAACATTAATATCAGTTAAAGTTTTAAATAATAATTGAATTTTGGAGAAGTTACTAATAATTGCAATTTTTAGAAATAATTGAATTTTGTAAAGGTTTCAAATTAAATTCTTTGAAAATTTGAATTTTTCAAAGTTTTTAATTAACAATTCAGTGGAATTCATTTTTTTTAATAAGTTTAATTGCGGATTAGTTTTTCAATTATTAGAAGTTTTTATTTTCTCATATAAAATTGAAGAATTTCCGAATAATTGAAATTTTGTAAAATTGAATTATAAACAAATGAATTTGAAAATTCTGAAAGATTTTTTTTTAAATAATGAATTTATAGAAGAATTTTAATTAAAAACACTAAAAAAAATTAAATTTTGGAGACGTTAGAAATTATTGCAGAAATTTAATTATTTTCAAAAAGCAAAAGTAATAAAATTTTTTGCAGAATTTCAATTATGTTCAAAAATTTTTAAAATTCTTCTTAGAGATTCAATTATTTTCAATACAATCTAAATAAAATTCAATAATTAAATTTTTAATTATAATTATTAACAGACCCGATTATTTTAAAAAATTGAAGAACATTGTTTGTTTAATTTAATTACTTTCAAAGTTTTCAATTAAAATTATTAAAAAAAACTACATTATTTTCAAAAAACTCAAAGAAATTCTTCAAAAGAATTTAATTATTTAGAAAAACTCTAATAACATTTTTTAAATGAATTTAAGTATCAATTCTTCAAAAGAATTACATTATTTTCAATATTTTAGTAAAATTCTTTGAATCAATTAAATTATTTTAAAAAATTGTAATAAAATTCTGAGAAGAATTTAATCATTTTTTAAAAATTTTAATGAAATTCAATAATTAAATGTTTAATTTCAATTATTAAAAAATACGATTATTTTAAAAACTTTAAAGAAATTCTTCGTAAAATTCAAGTACTTTGAAAATTTCCAATTAAAATTATTAAAGAAACTCCATTATTTTCAAGAAATTCAATTATTTAAAATAAAATTTTTCGCAAGGAATTCAATTATTTTTAAAAATTTTAATAAAATTCTTAGCCTCAAATTCAATTATTTTGAATGCATTTTTAATAAATAATTTTATCACTGGGTCTTTTATAATGAAAAATTTAATTTCTAATTTTAAGTAAAATGTTCTCTTATTTGACTCGGACTAATTATATTTTTGTCAATAAGTAAATAAATTTTCGTGTGGCGATTATAAATTAACAGAAAAGGAAATATTCGAAATAAAAAAAATTGAAATGTATTATTAAAAATGAATGAGAAATTAAAAATTACTAAAATTTCCTGTCAGAGAGAAAATCTTATCGAAATTTGCGGTTTTAAATAAGTAATGTACATATATGATTCTTGAAATATTTAACGATAATTATCGATTTTTGAATATTTTGATTCAAATGTATAAATAAATATATATCTTTTGTTTTCTGTTGGAAAAAATATTCAGATTTTCTTGTTATTGACATTATATACATACTTTACTGTATATATTCTCGATTCTAAAAATAAATTTCAATTAATATCGATTTTAAGTGAATTTTTAAATTTTGTTTGTTGCTTTATTATTTTTTTTGAACGTGCTTCGATTATACGTCACAATTTTGATAAGATGAGTTTTAAGCCATTCAAATCTCTGGTATGTAGAGTGATTTTCTTTTACGATACTGAGAGAGCTAAAAGGATTATTAAATTATTACTTGCACTTTTTTTCATTGTTACGTCTGTGTTTGTAATTTATTTTCGAAAAATTTTCCAATATATTTTACTTCGAATTGTTTCTATTTAATATCGAATGTGAAAGAAGTTAACAATTTAATTTCTATTTAAATTAGGTATATTAATTTTAATTAATTAATAAGTAACCACCCAGAGAAAAAAATTATTTAATTAATTTTAAACCAAATGTAATTTATTTTAAACAAAATTTTTTTTGCGAGTGTAAAGGAAATTGAATCATAATTCGAAATTGGATTAAAAATTAAATTTGAAAAAGAACATTACTTGTATTAATTATTGTACTTATTATATTATAATAAAAATAATTTAGAGCAAATTTGAAAACCCTACTCGTTTGTTTCAGAAGACGTGGGCTACAGAAGTGTCGAAATAACATCCGCCTTTACGCACCTGCCCCAAAAAGGTGAGTTAATTGACGCATATTATTTATATTTATACGCATAATTTAATATCAATGATTATGACTGTAAAATTATTGGATTAAACACGTGTGAGGCATTAAAGTGTGTTAATAACATTCAATAAAACGTTTCCTTTTATACGCCTTACTTTGTAAGGCGAAAAAGATTATTTACGAAAAACAACTAAAAAGCAACAAAGAAAGTAGTTTATATATTTTTTACTCAAAAATATGTCGCTGTATTTATTATTTATTTACGATACTTCCTTTTACAGGAAGTTATTAATTATTAATAAATATACAATATTCAGAATCTTTCTTCTAAAAAGAAAATGTTATCCCAGTAAGATTATTTCTTGTTACAGTTTTGATGCAAATTTTGTTATTTGTTGCATCGTTAAAATTGACGATCGGAAGAGAAAATTTATTTGCTCCCATGCAAGATCAAAGGTTGCTCCAGTAACTATTGGGAATTGCAAATAAGGGGTTAAAACAAATGATGAACATCAAAGGCATCTAATTACTTTGATTTTCTTTTATACAAAGCATAACAAAATATAAAAATTTTAAAAAGAAATTAAATAACATTTTCCTCATGAAATTCAATGATTTTCAAAATTTTTTAATGAAATTCTTGGCAAAATTTCAATTAGTTTCAAAAAATTTTTTCAATTTATTGATTTTCGATATCTACCTACTGTTTTAATATCTAAAATTCTCCAAAAGAATTCAATTATTTAAAAATTTGCTGAAAATCCTTTATAAAAATTAAATTTTAAGAAACATTCAATTATTTATTACAATTAAGGAAATTTTTAAATAAATGTAGCAGAACATTTTTTCCGTAATTTTCTAAAAATTCAAAAATTTTCAATTTAATTTATAAACATTTTTTTCCTTTATTTTTAAAAAACTGAATTTTTTTTAAAAACAATTGTAATTAAGAAATAGAAATGATACAAATTGAGAATTTTCTAAAAAAAAAATATCAAGAAATATTTTTTAAAATTTAGAAAGAAAAGAATCAAAGAATAAAATTTCTTTTATATTTTATTTCAAGAATAATCAGAAATTATAATAATAATAATGTAAAGTACAATTAATTTTATCCGTGAATATAAAAGAATAGATAAATAAAAATTGACAATAATTTAATTTTTGAAAAATAGTCTGAGTGAATAAATATAGGTTTGTTATTAATATTTATTAAAAACAAAATTATTAATAATTTCGAAATCATTTTTTATCAGCACGTGTGAGGTTCGTTAACTTGACACAGTTACGTTTTTTATTTTAAATATATTTACAGAAAGTTTTACACACAAAAGGCTTTATTATAAATTCGAGTATAAAAAAGGTCAATAATACATTTTATATTATAGAGAATATTTTTTTCTGATAAAATTTATTGTCACAATATTGTTTTCTTTGTTTTCTCCTTTTTTCGGGATTAATACAATATTAATGAACCATATACATTGTATAGAAAAGGAGAAAAAGAGAATAAAAAAAAACTATTAATGTATTTATTAGTTTTATGAATCTAATGTCGAAACTTTCTATATTCTGATAACTTTTAATCTAATACTTCAGCTTTTATCTGATGTTTTTTTTGTTTTTCAATAAAATGCGCACAATTTTATTGAATAAAATAAATTACTGCATAAAATAGTATGATAATATAATTAATAATATAGTGTAGTATTTATTATTGTTTTATGATAATACAATATTAATAAAATATTAATAGTTTATTATTTATTATTATTTTACTACAATAATAAAAAATATTAACACTTTATTATTTATTAATATTTTACGACAATAATAAATATAATACATGTATTATATCTACACAATTATATTACAACTACAGTATTGTATTAACTTTTTTGATAAATAATAATAATAATAATAATAATAATTTCTTTTAATAAAATTCTATTTTAATGTTTTGAAGGTTAAATAATAAAAAAAAGTAATTGAACAAAATTGTTTTTAGTTAAAAATTATAATACGTTTTATAAACAAACTAGCAAATGTTACACGCGTAACGAGATATTCAATTTATTTTTTATTAATTATGCAAATTATAATATTTTTTAATTTCAAATATAAATTTTTGAATAATTTCATAATCGAAATTTAAATAAAAACACTAATCAAGTACATAATTAATTATTATTGTTTGTATTTTCAAAAATTTCAAATATAATAATTCTTCACAAGAATTCAATGATTTTTATAAATAATAATTTCATTTTTTAACAAAATTCAATTATTTTTTTAAATAGTAAAATCTTTGCAAAATTCAATAATTTTCAATAAAATTTTACGAAATAATTCAATTTTTTTCTATATTTTAAATATAATATATAATATAATATATATAATATATAATATATATTATAATATAATAATATAATAATAATAATAATAATAATAATAATAATAATAATAATAATAATAATAATAATAATAATAATATAATAATAATAATAATATATAATAATATATATATTACTATATTTTAATAAAATTCATTAAATTAATTAAATTATTCTAGAAAATTGTAAAATAAAATTCTGAGAAGAATTTAATTACTTTCTAAAAATTTTGATAAAATTCAATAATTTAATTTATTTAATTTCAATTATTAGGAAACACGATTGTTCATAAAATACAATTGCTGTCAAAATTTTCAATTAAAATTATAAAAGAATAATATTGTTTTCAAAAAAAAAATTGAATTGAAAAACAATTGAATTCTTATAAAAATTTTTATTATTGTTTGAAATTAAGTTGAATTGAATTCGAATTAAATTGAAAATAATCTAATTCCTTCGAAGAATTTGATTAATATTTTCAAAAAATTCTCTTTCGAGAAATTTTATTAAAATTGTAGGTATTAAAAATAATTTAATTTTTTTTGAGGAATTTTATTAAAATTTGTTTTACAATTGAATTGAAAAAAAATTGAATTGTTTCAAAAAATTTAATTAAAATTGAATTGAAAAACAATTGAATTTTTATAAAGAATTTAATTAAAATTCTTGAAAAAAAAAATTTTTTCTAGGCATTTGATTAAAATTGACTTGAAAAACAATTGAATTCTTATAAAGAATTTTTATTATTGTTTGAAATTAAGTTGAATTGAATGCGAATTGAATTGATTTTTTACGAAAAAATGTATTAACATTCTAAAAATAATTGAATTCTTGAGAATAATTTTATTAAAATTTTTGAAAGTAATTAAATTATTCCGAGTTTTATAATAAAATTTTTTTAAATAATTGAATTCTAGCGAAGAATTCCATTAAAATTTCAAAAATAATGAATAATAATTAATTAGCTAATTAGTTAATAAGCGTTTGTTTGAAAATTTTAAATATGAAATTATTCAACAAACAACAATTAAAAATTTGAAAATAAAAATGTAATATTTACTACTACAATTAATAAAATAATAAAACTATTAATATTAAAATAAAAAAATATTAAAAACACTGTATTGTTAAGAATTCTGTAATTTCTGTTTTTGTGTTTCTATTTGTGAATATTCGGTTTTAATTTACATTTGTTATTTTTCACGAAAAAAAAAAATTTTAATCTAAAAGTGACTGTCAAAACGTAGAATTGTTTTTCAATTTTTCCTCCTTTTTTTTATGAATAAATTATGAATAAATAATAAGGTTATTTTGAAGAGGGGATGGGGGGGGGGGGAATTGACCTTGAAAATCATTTAATCTGGCAAACGATCGTGTAAACGTAAGGATTCGATAAGGCACGAGCGATATCTTTTGCTAAAAATAGAAAGACAAGGAAATGTGCATATATGTGCAAATTTACGTAAATTCAACAGACATACAAAACGAGTACTTGCACAAGTACGTAGGATGTTCATGACACTGACATATTACATGCTTCTCACACATATGTTGGCCGTGATTTACATATTATTTCATCTAAACAAAAATTTTTTCTTTTGTCTCTTCACTAATTCAGTACTAAATATGTTTATTTATCTTTTTTATTTTTTCATTTTTTTTGTATTTTTAAAATATTTAAAAAGTTGTTTTTTTACATTACAAAATTTTTTTTCTTCCTCGTGTGAAAAGTTTTATATAATATATATACATACAGCTGAAAATTTCAATCATTCAAGTTCACGTGAACGAGTGCTGATTAATATATATATATATAGTTGATTTGAGCGATAATATTTTTCTGTTTCCATTTCTTTGAAATTATTTCTATTAATATGTATAAATATAATTTTAATTTTAGATAATAAAGAATAACTTCGTTTCTTTAATTTCATTAAATTTAATAATTATTTTCGTTTATTAATTATTATTTTTTTTGTTTACTATTTTTTAGGAAAAAATCCATTACAAAATTTCCCAATTTGTCAAATATAGGGAAATTCTTATTTTTAAATGTTTTTTTTTCAGACTTGGATATTTTTATTAGTACATAAGAATATATACCTATGTATATTCCTATTTTTGAAAGAGTGAATCTAGATTTTTGTTTTAAATATTCACGCCACTTTCCTTATTTAAACAATGAGGGCAAAATTATTTATTAACTATTTAATGAAGCTCTAAAATTAAATGTTCATTTATAGTACGAGTGACATAATTCTGAAAAATAGTCCATTGATAAAAAGACATGAATTTTCCTTCATTTCTATATTCGTCTCTTTATTTTAATTCTTAATTTTTTCTGTATTTTTTTAAGTAACTTTAATTGTGTCTTTATGACGAAAAATCCTTCTAACTAAAATTATTATTTTTTTTACTATTTTTAATATTGAAAAAATAAAATTTTATTATTTTTTTCTCCATATTTAGCAAAAGAACCTGTATTAATATAACGAGGAAAACGTTTATTTTACTCACAAAATAGATAAAAATTTATAATCAATTATAAAAGATAGAGATTTTTTTTGTGCCTTTTATGCATTGCGCGCAGAATATGTCTAAATGAAAAAATTACGACTTTGTTTTGAATTATCTAACAATATTGATTGTAGCTTTTGTATATATATATATATAGATGTTTTATATAATATTTTTTTCAAGTTTTTGAAAATTATGTCATCGTTTTTCAAATGTATACTCCAAATAGATATATTATTTAATTTCTGTGTATTTATATTTGTCGATTAAAATGATCGAAGTCATACAAAGAATGTATGAAATTTTGCATTTACGATTATGTCACATATAATGCAGATTTGTAATCTTATTATAATTTCGAAATTGATTTTCCTGTCGCAGTATTACGTCAAATTCATAATCAAAAACGTTGTTTCTTGTTGTTATGAAATTTATTACATCAAAACTCCATTTAATGACGAATTTCATACTTTGGACTATTTACTGTTTATTTTTATTTTTTCTAATTGTTCAATTAAAATAATACATCTTAATTAGGTTCTAAATTAGTATTCATTTAAATTAGTATCTAAATAGTATTTTTAGTAATTAGTATTTTTTAGATAATTGTTATTATTTATTTCTACTTATTCATTTTATTTACTTTTATTTATTTTCGATATAAACGGGACTTGCCCTTTTATTAATTCTTTTTATTTATTTTTATCTACTTTATTTATTCTATTTATTTATTTTATTTATTTATTATTTATTATAAAAATAAACGGAACTCGGCCATTTATTAATTGTTTTTTTTTTTTTTTATTTTCTTTATTTATTTTCAATATTAACGAGTCTTGCCCTTTTATTAATTTTTTTTTTACTTTTTCTATAATCAATTTTTTCTCAGAATTTATTTTAAATTTCCATGTACATTAACATTATTTTACATTTAATTTCCATTTACTTTACTTATCCGCACTAAATTGACGGATATAAATAAATATGATATTCATTAATTTTAGAAGCAGGTAAATTTAAATTTTATACACATCAATTTTTATATTTAGTTTAAGATTTAATCACAAAATTGAGGACATCTAAATTCTCTCGATTGTTTAACACAGAAAATTTAATCAGAACGCCAATAAATGAAATTAACCAGATTTAATCATTTCTATTTTTACACTCTTTTTTATCAATTCACGTGTATGTATTTTTTTTTATTTATTCCACGAAGCTTGGTTTTTTTTTTTTTTTTTTTTGCTTTTTTTATTGTTCTAGGAAAAAGTATTAAATTTAAAATTCAGATAATACTAATTTAAAAAATTGGTCTATTTGCTTTTGTTTATTTTTATTTTTCTCTATAATTGAGAAAAGATTCATGGATGTGTAAAAATAGAATTTTTAATTATTTTATAAAAAAAAACTTGATTAGGCACTATGAAAAATAAATTGGCATTCAATTTTTTTTGGGAATTAATAATATTGTAAAAATTAAGAAATTGAGTGAAATTTTTGAATGTTTCCAAATTTATGAATTTATTAATTATTATTTATTAATATTAATAATATTTTTATTATTATTGTTAAAAATAATATTTTTAATTTATTTCTAATATTTTAAACGTTCAAATGAATGTTTTTCTCAAAAGTGAGAAAAAAATTAGTTCAGTTGAACGTTCAGAACTTTAGGGACATAGAAAAATTATTTTGTGTGCTGTATAGTAATATAATATAGTATATAGTAATTTTTAAAAATATTGTAGAAAAAAATTTATCTTTCATTTGTTCAAAGTCATTTTTCACCAAAATTTATTTTCCCAAAGTTTTTCTTAACGGAACGTTCAGTAAAACTTTGGGAAAATAAATTTTTGTGAAAAATGACTTTTGAACTCAACATAATATCAATTTGAAAATTAGTGAAATTATTTTGTTTATGAAGTGTATAAAAAATTCATTTTTTTTTGTATTATTTATGCGAAAAGTTGTTCTCTCCGCCCAATTACGTTGATTCGTCCCCACTTTATCAGCTTCATCACTCCTTCCAAGAATTTATTTACAAAGAATAATCAATTGCTTCCTCCGATCAGTAGCGACTTTACGCTCGTGCTGTTATAACGCTCGTCTTATCTCGACAGACTTTTTCCCCTTTTTGTATATATATATAAGTATAGTGATTCGCTTTAGTCGCGCAAGTAGATATGTTCTTCCCTCGTTAGACCAGTTTTTCACGCGTCATGCCGCTTTTAAATTGAAACCAGTGTGATCTATATTTAGTCGTGACAACTGGGCAACATCCTTTTTTTTTCTTTTTCTTTTTTACAATTTTTCGAAGAACCGTGGGACGAGATTTTTCAATTTCTTAACATGTTTGCTCAACAGATGCCATAATCTCTTGACTGTATAGAGAGAAAAAAAAATTTAGACAATTATATACATCAATATAGTAAAAAAAATAAAATTATTCAAAGAAAAAAGAAAAAATGCATTGTAATTTGAAATTTCATTTTGTCCGATTTCATGGGGTGAAAAATAAGATTGCCATTAATTGTGTAAGTGAAAATATTACTGATCGTTAAATACACGCACCAAAGGAATGCTGAGAAATGAAAATTAAGAAATAAAAATTAAGTTTGAGAAATTGTTTGAAAAATAGTTGGAAAAAAACAGTGGAAAGAGTAAAAAGACAAAAAGAGTGTTTGGTGAATTTTTTTTTCCATTTTGAAAAGTGTTTCTTGAAAATAAAAAAAAAATATCTTTGAAAATAAAAAAAATTGAGAGGAGAAAAATGAAGATTTCTAAGCATAAGAGTGCATTTAGGCCGTATGAACAGACAAAAACGAGACAATATTTTGGACATTCTTTGAAAAAGCAATTGTGTTTATCGGAAATGTTTTACATTTTTGTAGACATGGCACGAGATACACCGGGTTCACCGATTTCCCGGCCACGTGACTTGGGTGCAGGTGGTGCAACTGCCACCCTCACGTCGAGCACGTATCACACGTCAAGCTCGGAGGCCAGTTTGCATGAGCGAGCATTGCAACACAAAATTCTGGAGGTAATGTACAAAGTTTTACACATTTTATTACTATTTTTTTTTTTTTTTTTTTTTTTAATTCCATAATTATAATAATTAATATAAGTACGAAAAATTTACTTTCATTTATTACATTTACATGAAATTATTTATTATTTAAATTAAATTAACATAAAAAAATATTAAATTTTGACAAAATAATCTTTCGGTAGATTATTTTAATCCTATTGATAGATTAAAAAGTTGCTCCATTTTAATGTTAAAATAATAATATAATTTCATAACTTATAATTTGTAACTTTATAATAAATTAATAAGTTCCTTTAATTATATGCCATTCGTCATTTATCAATGAACTTACTCAATCAGGGTGTCTACTGGTCCTTGAAGTCCTTGAATTCCTGGAAATGTCCTGGAATTTGAAAAAATGTCCTGAAATGTCCTTAAATGTCCTGGATTTTGAACTTTTGTCCTTGAATTTTCCATATTTTGCTTTTCAATATTCAATAATTTAAAAATCTTACTCAAATTTAAAAAAATAATTAATTAAGGAAGATTTCGACTATATCAGCAATTAGTGACATCTATTAGAAGTCAATTGAACTCTTTGGTTTAGAGTCAGGTGTTATTCTTAAGATAATTATTCCGATATGGTTGTCGGTAAATAATTATATTTTTTGAATTTTAATTTTTGATCTGAAAAAATAAGCTGCGTGAACGACTGCACTGTGCATCTGTGAGGACTCGAACCCCAGTTAATAGCTGCCTTTCGCGGGACTAACGCCTACCAATGCACCATGCCAACACAGCCTGGACGTTCACGTTTCTTATAATCTCAGATCAAGCCCATACACTAGTCGAAGAGCTGTATAGTTAATGTAGGAAATTATTTGCTGATGAAGAATTTTAATTAAGGAAGATTTCGACTATATCAGCAATTAGTGACATCTATTAGAAGTCAATTGAACTCTTTGGTTTAGAGTCAGGTGTTATTCTTAAGACTCTAAACCAAAGAGTTCAATTGACTTCTAATAGATGTCACTAATTGCTGATATAGTCGAAATCTTCCTTAATTAAAATTCTTCATCAGCAAATAATTTCCTACATTAACTATACAGCTCTTCGACTAGTGTATGGGCTTGATCTGAGATTATAAGAAACGTGAACGTCCAGGCTGTGTTGGCATGGTGCATTGGTAGGCGTTAGTCCCGCGAAAGGCAGCTATTAACTGGGGTTCGAGTCCTCACAGATGCACAGTGCAGTCGTTCACGCAGCTTATTTTTTCAGATCAAAAATTAAAATTCAAAAAATATAATTATTTACCGACAACCATATCGGAATAATTATCTTAAGAATAACACCTGACTCTAAACCAAAGAGTTCAATTGACTTCTAATAGATGTCACTAATTGCTGATATAGTCGAAATCTTCCTTAATTAAAATTCTTCATCAGCAAATAATTTCCTACATTAAAAAAATAATTTTTTGACCCATCAAAAAATAATTTTAATTTGTCATTTGATTAAAGAAACTGGTATCTAAAATATTGATTTTTAACTCTTTTTATAATAAAATAAATATTTTTGTTCAAGTAGGTTAATTTAAATTATTTTAATCGTAATATGAAATAATATTACACAGGGTTGCCATCAAATTTTATTTTTGTTTTTCCCTGACTTTTCCCTGATTTCCAGACAAAATTTTCATTTCTTCCCTGACCCTCAAGAACATTAATAACTTCATTTTTAAATAAATATTTAATCATTATTATTTTTCTATAGAAATTAAGATTCTCAAATTCAATTACTTACGAGAATACTATAATAAGACATGAAAAAATTTAAGATGAGAAAGTAATAAAATCATTATTTTATTTCATAAGAATATTGTAACTAAAAATTCAAATTTTCAAAGATTTTAATTTTAACCCTTTTCAAAATTCAATTATTTCTAAAAATCCACGTTATAATGCTTTTAATATTCAATTATAATTTAAAATTTTAAGTGAAATTCATTTTTTAATAAATTTTTATTAGAAAATTTCCCGATAATTTTATTCAAATTTTTTTAAATAATTGAATTTTTGCACAATTTTTTAAAACTTTTTAAAATTAATTAAATTCCATTTAGAAATTTCAATAAAGAAATTGAAAATAATTGAGATCTGACAAAGAATTGAAAAAAAAATTTTTTTTAATAATTGAATTCCTGTGAAAATGTTTATTTTTAGAAAATTGAATTCTTAGGAAGAATTTTATTAGGATTTCTTAAATTATTGAATTGCTTAGAATAATTTTATTTTTTACGAAAATAATTGAATTGTTTCGAAGAGTTTTACAAACATTTTGGACAATAATTGTATTTCTAGAAAAAATGTTGTATTTTACGAATATAATTGTATTCTATGACCGATTTTATTATAATTTTTCAAATTTATAAAACATTTATCAAAAGTTTTCAAAATAATTGAATTGTCAAAAAAGAAAATAATTGATTTCTAGCGAAGAACTTTATTCAAATTCTTTTAAATAATTGAATTTCCATAAAAAATGTATTATTTGTGAAAATAATGAATTCTTAAGAAGAAATGTATTGAAAACAATTGAATTGTATAGGAAAATTTTATTAAAATTGCAATTTAATGAACTAAATCTTGCAAAGAATTTTGTCAACATTTTTTTTAAATAACACAATTATTAAAAGAATTTCATTTAAATTTTTCGAAATAATTGAATTTCTCAGACTATTTTTTTTGATTTTCTTTATATATTTGAATTCTTTCGAGAAACTTTATTAAAAAATTAAAAATAATTGAATTGATGTGAAGAAATTTATAAAAGAAATTGGTAAGTAATTGAATTCCTGTTAAATTTTTATTAAAATTTTGTTTAAATAATAGAATTGTTTTGGAAAAGTTTATTAAAATAGATATCAAAAATAATTGAAATGAGGAAAATTTTTTAAAAATAATTGAAATTTTGCCAAGAATTTTATTAAATTTTTTGAAAATAATTGAATTTTGGAGAAGAGTCTTATTATTTATAAAAATAATTGATATTTGACAAGAATTTTAAAAAATTTTTGAACAGAATTGAATTTATGCGAAGTTATTTAAAAGTTATTTAAAAAGAAATTATTGTCAAAAATAGAAAATATTGAAGGGTTTGTATTAGAATTCTTGGCAAGTTCATAGTTTATAAGGCAAACAAAAAATTTGGCAACACATATAAATGTCCTGGAAAAATAAGAAATCTGACCTGGAATGTCCTGAAAATGTCCTGGAATTTTAAGTCATATTTTCAGTAGACACCCTGTCAATGGATTAATAATTAATAAACAGTAATTAAGTTTGACCCTATATTGCAGATAAATTGAGTAAAGAATTATAATAATAATTTATATAGTTGTTATTATTATTAATATTATTACTGAAAATTATTATTTATTAATCAATTACAATAAATTATATTGAAAGGCAAAAATTTTTTTTCGTAGAGTTGTTATTCGAAAAACTCTCAATTAATTTATTGAAAACAAATATTTAAACCAATTGAAAAAAAATCTTTGCGCGCAATTAAAATAGTATATTTAAGAAATGCAATTAGTAAAAAAATTATCATCTGAATATTGATTAAATTAAAATTTTCTATTACTAATGTCCGATATAAATCAAATCGATCGGTTGAATGTTAAATAATTGAATCAAAGCGGAATTTATGCAAATTAGAAAATTTTTTATTTTCAAATATGAATTTTTGAATAATTTCAGACTCAAATTTTTAAAAAAATCAATTAATTATTAACTAATTTACTAATTAATTATACTTGTTTAATAATTTCAAAAATTTTAATAAATCCTTCGCAACAATTCAATTATTTTTTTTTAGTAAAATTTTTGCAAAAATTCAATTATTTTCAAAAAAAATTTTACTAAAGAATTCAATTTTTTCTTTATTCAATATAAAATCCTTGCAAAAATTCAATTATTTTCGAAAAAAATTCACGAAAGAATTTAATTTTTTTCTTCATTCGATATCAAATATTTCAAAAAAATTCAATTATTTTCTAAAATCTTTATAAATACCTAGTTCCAAACAATTTAATTTTTCTTTATAAATAGTAAAATTTTTTGCAAAAATTCAATTATATTTAAAATAATTTCACGAAAGAATTAAATTTTTTTTCTTAATTCGTTATAAAACATTTCAAAGGATTCAATTATTTTTATAAAATTTTAATAAATTCTTCGAAAAAATTCAATTATATTTATAAATAGTAAAATTCTTGCAAAAATTCAATTATTTTTTAAACTTTTAATAAATCTTTGGAAACAATTTAATTATATTTATAAATAATAAAATTCTTTGCAAAAATTCCATTATTTTCAAAAAATTTTCACGAAAGAATTAAGTTTTTATCTTATTAATTCGTTATAAAATTTTTCAAAAATTTTAATAAAATTTAATAATTAAATGTTTCATTTCAATTATAAACAAACACGATTATTTTATAAGCTTAAAAGATAATTGTTCATAAAATTCCATTATTTTTAAGATTTTTAATTAAAATTTTTAAAGAAACTCCATTATTTTTAAAAAAAATTTCAAAGAAATTCTTCAAAAAGAATTTAATTAGAATTATCAAAAATTGTAATATATTTTTTCTCGAGAATTCAATTATTTTCCTAAATAATAAAATTCTTCGAAGAAATTCTATTATTATCAAATTCTTTGCAACAATTCGATGATTTTCAATAAATTAATTTTAAAAATGGAAATTATTTGAAAAGAAAAATTATATTAAAAAAGTTAGGAAACAAAAAAGCAAACAACAACTAACTTCAAACTGCGAACAGATTACCGGAATACAACGATTATTAATAAAGGCTATTGTTTGTATTTATTATTTATTATAAGTACATAGTTTAATGCCATTTGGCATTAATTTATTAAGTTATTATTTTTTTTAGTATTTTTTTTATTAATTTATTATTTAATTTATTATTTAATTTATTGTTTTCATTATTACACTGAAAAAAAAATTATTTAAATCAAATAATCGATTACTTGACTATTATCAATTAAATATTTACTTGAATCAAATAAATTTTATTTGAGTAAATTAAATGCTTCAATTTATATTTGCTTCGAATACTGAAATTATTGGTTCAAAATTTCAAATACCATTTAATTGAATTGAATTTAAGTGAATAAAAATACAAAAAATAATTATAAATAGATAAATAAAAACGCAATCTAAATAAATGTCTTTGATATCATAATTTGATATTCTTAAAAAAAATTACGACAAATGGTAATTTTAAGAAGGGCATTCAAATAAAAAATGGAATTGAAAAAAAATTTGGGCGCAAAAGCAGAAAGTGAAAAATTGACCGACGAGTTCATTGTTTGTGAATTGGCGAATTCTTGAAACTGTTTTTTAGTTCATTGTCATAGTGGCATGCACGTAATTGCTTTCAATCGGTGACCGTCATAACATGCACCTAAAGTATATTGCTATTCCACTGATAAGCATGACAATATATCTAGGTCATCTATTTATATTCCTACTTCATATGTCACGCATTTCACTTCTATCGTTAATCAAGATATATCTCCCTCTATCAATTATTAATTTTTCCATCAATTTTCAATTCAAATTTAGTTCCTCTTTTTTATAAATGTTGTAAATTGTTTACCAATCTAAATTTATTCAATTTTCATCTTGTACTATTAATAATAATTACTATCAATACCTATTATTTAATTAATCTCAATCAATAAAGAATAAATGTTAAATGAAATTCGGTAAAGAAAAAAATTTTTCCACGAAACGAATTGAATTTATTTTCGATTATAATACATAGAAATTGTAATAATTCATTTCGTCATCAATTCTTCTTTTTCTTCAATTCAAGTGTTAATTTTGATTTTTCACACTCGCGGATAATATGAAAGAAAATTATCATAACAGTTGAAAATCAACAAAATTTATAATCGTAAAAATTCATGAGTCGTTTTGGTATCCGGGAAGATATTTTTCATATAATTATAAAAGAACACACGTGGAATTTTATATACTATTAATACACAATATAGTGTCAACACATCATTGTTTATTCATTGAAAAAATTTTTAATCTATCAAATCAATACATGTCGGAAAAATTATATTTGAGAATTAAAAAATTTTTTTTAAGAAATAGAAATTTTTAAAAAATTTTCATTTTACTTTTTTAAAAAAATTATTCACTTTATTCACATTGTTCTTTTTTTTAATTACAAAATAGGACATTTACTATTTTTTAAAGTATTTCTGTCGATATTTTCGACTGTTGCTTTCTTTCTTTTTTTTTTAATTAAAATTTTGTCTCTTTTTTTATTCTTGTTTTTATTCGAAATCCAAAGCGTTCCAATTATGATTTTTATATCAAACACGTGTCACGAATCTAGGAACGTTATCTATAAATAAGAATAATAATAATGTTAATAGCATTGATAATTATTCTAAAAATAGTAATATTCATATTATTATTATTATCATTATTAGGTTATTAGATATTAGTATTATTATCATATTATTATTATGATTGTTATTATTAAGTACTCTAATAATAATATGAATATTATTTGTAACTATTCTAATAATGCCCAGAAAAAATATATAATTGTCTCAGAGTCTAGTAAATTATTTGTAAAATAAATTTTATTTAGTTCAAGTAAAAATTTTATTTTTCCTAAATAATTTTTTAAAAACAAATAAAAAATTTAGTAGTCACTGTGACAAATATTATTATTTAACTTAAATAAAACTATATTTGATTTAAATAAAACGTTTTTCTGGAGCTAATTATCATTGTCAGGCAATATTGTCTCTCAATTGTCAATTATTGTCTAATCAATCAATTATCGTCCTCTATTTGTCAAATAATTAATAACAATCAAATTTCAGTCAATTATCGGACTGTTATCAAATTACGATAGTTAAAAATTCATAAAATATAAATTATTTTTTGTTAATAGTTGTATTTATTTTTTTAACGTTAATTAAAATAAGTAAATGAAATTCAAAAAAGTAAAAAAAAAAAAAAATAGTTTCACTTTGGATTTATTTTTTGAATTTTTTGCCCTGGTCAAAAAGTCCAAAGAAATTAAAAATCCAATGAAAAAAATTGAGATATAAAAATTTAAATGGCTGCCTTGAATGAAATTTTTCTTTTTTTTGAGTTGTTCATTTCGATGGCTTTGAATCGAATGTATGTACCTAAACCACTTTAAATTTATCTGAAAATATTTTAATTAATCGAGTTATTTAATTGGAGTTATATTTAAAAAAGATCGTTGAATTTTTTTAAAAGAATTTTATCAAAATTGCTGAAAATTTTCTGGAAATTTTTTTATTTATGAAAATAATTTAATTTCTGTGAAGAATTTTTTTTTATAAAAATAATTGAATTTTTGTGAAAAATTTTTTTTTTATGAAAATTATTGAATTTTATTATTTACGTAAATAATTAAAATCCTGCGATTTTAATATCAACATTTTAAATTCCGATTTTATAGCGTAAAAAGTAAAAACGTGGCTTTTTCACATGTTTCATTATTTATTTTGGACGTTTTTATTTATTTCGGATTTTTTGTACTTTGGACTTCTTTTCTTGGATTTTTTGGTCAAGATTTCTTGGTTTGGATTTTTTGTCCTGTAATCTTGATAATTGAAAATTAATAATAGTCTGATAATTGTCTGAGATTTGATTGTTATTAATATAATAATATTTATTAATTAATTTAATATTTACTAATTTATTAAACTAGTTATTTTATTATTATTATTTATTATATTAAATTATTATTCTATTCTTTTTTCTAATATTGTTAAAGAAAACCAATTGTTTTAATAAAGCGAAGAAAATTTATAGAGTGAATTTTTAAATAAAAAAATAGTGCTGAAATTTAAAAATGAAATTAAAAATAGAAAAAATTTTAAATAATACTAATAGCATTTAATAAAAATGGAAATACAAACCTAAATTCTGCTTTCGATTATAGTTATAATCGTAAAAAGAATGAGAAAAGTAATGCAAAGAATGAATCGTTTTATAAATGTTTTCGAATATTTGGAATTCTTTTGAATAATTTTGCCCCGATGTCGATTGTACTCGCGAATCCAGGCGAGCGTCTTCTCCGTTGGACTTATCTCAACTTTCGTGTATTCCGTTAATGAAAGTGTTGATTCTTGCTGAAAAAAGTTACCCATATTTTTATTTTTCAAAAATTTTAGACAAAATATATAATTTCTAATAAATTTTATAGAAAAATTGTAATTTGTAATTAGTAATTTGTAATTTTTAGTCTTTTAAATCAATATTTTGTTTCTATTTTGACGTTAATTAATTAAAGGGAAAATTTAATGCATTTTCGAGTTTAATTATGATTTCAGGTAAACATTAAATATAAATAAATTAATGAAATGAAATTTTTTGTAGAGGCAATTGTTTTTTTGTAATTTTCTAAAGTTGGGTTAGAATTTGGGATCGATAAGACAGGACTAACCTGCTCGCAAGCCAAGGTCACTGAGTCCAAGGGTGCCCTACAAAGAGGACATGGAGGTGGGGTTGAAACATCCCTGGCCTCACAATAACTTTCCAAACACGCAGCGCACAATAAATGACCACAATATGCCCTTACACCACACTGTGGACCATTCAAACATATCGGACATAATTCTCCATTATAAATCTTTGATTTCTTGCTAGAATTTTTTTTTCAATTTTTTCGTTAAAAAACCATTTACGTTCGAATGAAATTTTTCTTCTTAGATATTTTTCAAAATTACTACCAAGGAAGTGCACTAATTTAAATTAGTAAAAGATTCTACTAATTAGTAATTTTCCACTAAAATAGCAGGTAAATAAATTAGTAAACAAATTTGTAACTTCTAAGGTGGAATAGTAAAATTTTACATACTGTAAATAAGTGAAAACTTTTATTGATTTAAATTAGTGGACAACTTTTTACTAATTAAAATTAGTGGACAACTTTTTACTAATTAAAATTAGTGGACAACTTTTTACTAATTAAAATTAAGCGATTAAAATAATATTTAATTTATTAAAAATTCGTACCTTAATTTCTTCTCCTGTGGGTATTCATTCTTTTTTGTTTGTATTTTTTTGGATTTTCGAAGAAAATTTCGCAATGAATGAAATTCGCGATTACGAAAAATAAAAAAATATGTGCCCAGTGCAAAGGCAATAACTGACATTTTTGTCGCGTATCCCTTCCAAACTAATGGAATTTCGCCTTGTGATATCATCGTAATTAGTGTATTTCCACCGGAATAATCAGACAGGTTCATTGATCGTTCGTAACTCTGTATAATGATTAATTAATAAATAATAATTCCATTTTTTTCTATCTTTTTATTGCATTTCAAATAATTATTTCCTTTTTCTTTTTCTTTTCTCGAGACAACATTCACTATTATTATTATACTCACAAGTTTGCCGAATCACCGTTTTTGTTCTATAATTAAAAAAAATTTCCCAGATTTTTTAAGCAGTTATTATTTGTTTTCAATATTGATTTTTAACTTTCGAAAATGTATAAATTTTTTACCGCTTGATATAAGTTTTTGACAACGTGACTGGTAGCCATTTTTGTTTTTTTTTTTGTTGAAAATAAAAAATTGTGGTTTTCATTTGTTTTATTTTGTTTTTTATGTATTTTACATTTTGTACCTTTTAGACCTATTTTCTTTTTAAATTTATTTAATTAATTTATTTATTTTATTTATTTATTTATTCTTAAATTTGGTGACTTTTTGGCCTATTTGGAAAATGGAGTCTCTATATAAATGAATAAAAAATGAACACAGCAAGAGAGGGGGTGTGGGGGGTAGAAAAACATGCTTGAAATTGTCGACTCGGTCACGATATGTGGACCATGCTAATGTATTGCAAGCATGGCGAATTTATTAAAGTTGCAGGTGCAACTAAAAGTTATATATTCCCTCGTGACACGAAGAAGAAATTCCTCACTATTCACTTTGAATGCGATTAATAAAATGCTAATTTTCGTCTTTTATTTTAATAAATACCATTTTTTTTGTTTCTTCATTTCGTAAATTATCAATTTTACACTAAAATTTACATTATTTTTATTATTATTGCAATTTTTATTTTACTATTATGTATTATTACTATTTTGGGCATTTGCCTGAAATATTTAAATAAATAATTAATAAATATTTATTTATTTATTTATTTATTTATTTATTTATACTTGTTTTTGCATATAATAATGCATAAATATAAATATTATTATTATTATTATTATTAATTTTGTTACTGACATTATTACTTTTTGCTTTTCGGTGAACGTGGTTTTTTTTGTTTAAACAAATTAAAATGGAAAAAGGGGAATTTTTTTTTTTTTTTAAAGGGAATTTTATATAAATAAAAGTTTATCATTTTTATTTGGAATTGGATTTTATTTTTCTACCACGTAATAATTAAGATATATATCTGTTTTCAATGTCAACGACGATGACTCCAAGAAAGTGTTTACATGTGACTTTTATAGTACTTTTTTTTGTAATATTTCTTGCGCATTCATCACACATATACATATATGTTTATATTTGCGAATTAATTGCAATGTACATATGGAAATTACATATTTTCTTGTCATTGATGAATTTTTTTTTTAACGAAACTCTTATCATGAACTTCAAACTGACGCTATTACATATTTATATACAATTATAAGGAAAAATATGAATTTTATCAAATCAGTTTTTTTGTCGAAATAAGTAAAATTAGTATTATTTATAATATAATATTTATTATTAAGTAAAAAAATGCATATTTTTTGTTTATTATTTTTTTTTTTTATTATATTTATTATTAGGTATTAGAATTATAAACATTTTTATTACTTTTATAGTTATAATTTGATAATTATAATTTTATATTTATAATTTTATATTTATATTTTTATATTTATAATTTTATATTTATAATGTTATATTTATAACTATAATAATAATTGTGTAAAAAATAAAATTTAATTTAGTAATAATTTATTATTATCTTTACCACTATTTATAAATTGTAGAAAATTTTTTTACGTTCTATAAAATAATTTTTATGTTGTTCAAAAATGATCCTAAAGTTTTGAACTTTCAAATGAACGAAATTTATTTATTTCTTCTTGAAACGAAATTTTTAATGCAATAATTTTTCGTCACTACCTATAAAAAAAGTAATTATAAACTAGATGTAAAATTCAAGTTTCTAATTTTTATTGCAAACGGTAATAAATATTTTTAATTAAAAAATATCTCGTTCATTTGTAGTTCATATTAAAAATTTATTATTATTTTTGAGCATAATTGGATTAATAATTGATTTTTGAAAAAAATCGATGTTCGTTAAATAGATAAATTAATTAAAATAAATAAATGAAAGTAAATTTTTTTAAGACGTAAAAATAAAAGTATAGAAATTATATTTTTATTTTGAAAATATAGAATAGAAAAGTGAATCGTTTTTCAATTGAAAAAAGAAAATAAATTTAAAAACGATGAGTCGAAGTGGGAACATTACCCTTGAGGTATCTGGGTTTGGTTCCAGCTACAGCAGCAGCATCAACTTCAGCAGCAGTTCCTCAGACAGCAGTATCAGGCCCAGGAACGACAACTTGCCGAAATTCATGAACAACAGATGCAACAACTCAAGGTAATAATAATGAATAATTAATCATTAATTCTAGTAGAAAATAAATAATTTTTCTCCTAATTAGTTGTATTGACAATGAAAAAGAAATGTACGTTAAATTTTTTTTATACTTTTTGAATCGAGGCAATTTTTGGCAGCTTTCGAACAGATGGTGGAGTGGAGTTTATTTTGAAAAACTTATAATTAGTCTGGAAAGTGTGAGTGCGTCTAAAATTAAGACTGCGGTGTGGAATAACTGAAATTAGTTACAAGCTTTTTGAGAATGAGACACATGAGGATTATAACATGTGAACTGGTATGTTAACACGTGTGTCAGAGGTCGCAAAAGAAACTTACTATATGCTTATTTAGAGGACAAAAGAATCATTTACCTCCTCCTTTTATTTTATAAATACAATATTATTTATGTTATAAATTTTCCAAAGGCATTTATTATACCCCCAATGAATCAACGAGGTCCCTATTAATTTTTTTATTTACCGCGGCTAAGAATAGAACAATCTACGTCCAAGCATCACTTTGTCCATTCAGATTCAACGATTAAAGTTCGCTTGGAATATTCCCTTAAAAAAAATTATTCAAACAAAAAAAATTTTATATTTCTTGCGTCTGTTTTTCTGTTATATTTTTTGTTTTCACTAATTAACTTAATTTAGTTCATTTTATTTTATTACTTTCATTTTTGTTATTACTTTTCGTTTTTTATTTCTCAATTACTTTCAATTCCAAAAATTCTAATAAAATTCTTCGCAAGAATTCAATTATTTTTTCAATACAATCTTAATAAATTAATTTTTAATAAAATTTTTTGAAAGAATTAAATTCAGAATTTTAATTATTTACATAAATAATAAAATTCTTTATAAGATAATGCAATTATTTTTAACAAACAATTTTAATAAAAATTCTTTATAAGAATTCAGTTATTTTCAATACAATTTTAATAAAAATTCTAGAAAGAATTTAATTTTTTTTTTAAATTTTAATAAAATTCTTCGCAGGAATTAAATTTATTTTCATAAAAAATAAATTTTTCGCAAAAATTTGATTATTTACCTACTTATATAAATATTAAAATTCTTTATCAGAATTCAATTATTTTTATTACAATTTTAATCAAAATTCCCGAAAAGAATTCAATTATTTCAGATTGAAAATTATAAAAGTTACAAAAATAATAACATTTGTTTAACAAATTATATTTTTTAAAATTAAAAAAAGTTTACACTGTGAGAACAATCTTGTTTCATGAATTTTGTTTTATTATTATAAACAATTACATGTAATAAATAATAATTTTTATTTTATTATAAATTCAGTAATTTTCTTTTATTTTCATTCGTATCAAGAAAATTTTTTTCTTTGTATAAAATTAATTTTCTCAAAACACATTCTTCTCCTTGACTTCGAAAAAAATAAAATATTATAAAGCAATTTTTATATCAATATTTTTTTCATCTTTTTTTTGAGGCAATAACTTATTTTTCTTGTGGAAACTCGAAAAACGTGTTATTTATTATATCTCAAGGTTAATGTAATAAAAAGTTTGAAAATAAATTTTCCTCGTGATTATATATTTATAATAAAAAGGGGAAAAAAGCAGTGAAATAAAAAAACAGATAGTAAATAAACGTCATAGTTCGTCGAACTGAAAATGTCTCCTGTTTGCAATTCCGGATGAGTCCAGCCAAACCGGAAGTCACGATGGATTGCGGTCAGTCTTTAGATATTTATAGAAACTGTCGCGTCTCAAGACTTGAAAACGAAAATTTCAAATTTTCCTAATTTACATGATTCCTGGAAAATTTAGTCTAATTTTCTTGTTCATTACTTTCGCAATAAGGAGGAAATACCTATAATTTTTTTTCCTACCCGAAAAATGATAATTTTTAATTTTTGAAATTAATTATTAATTGAGAATGTAATTTTATTTTCCACCATTTTTTTCCCTCGTAAAAATGACAATCTTCACCTTTCAAAATTAATTATTAATTAATGGAATGCAATTTTATTCCCTCGCAAAAATTACAATTCTCACCTTTTGTAATTTATTAATCAATAGAATTTAATTAAAATAAAAATTTTGTGAAAAAATTAAAATTCCATTTAATTATTAATTAAAATTGATTTGAAAAATTTCAATGGTTTTTTTTATTAAATAATAGGTTTTTTTATAATTTTTTTTTTAATTTTAAAAATATTTTTATCTTTTCTTTATGTTTTTATAATTTATACAATTATTTAAATGTTTATTGAAATATTATTTTCGAAAATCAGTCATTGATAGATAATGTTATATTAGAGATATTATTATTTTTTATTTGAATTCTTATTTTGAAATTTAATATACTTTATTTGTAATCTTTTTTTATTTTACGAGTTCATTGGTCCATTTCTCAGGTAAAGTGAGCAGGTGATTCACACACAGGTGTCTTGTTTTGCGCTCAATCTCGTACACGTGTAAATCGTTTTGGCTTGGCTAGTGTGACTCATTCCCCGTTCCCCCCACAAATGACCTGTTCAATATTTAGAAATCAGTGAATAAAATATTTTATCAACACTGACCCAATTAAAAATTTTCGAAAACAAAAAAAAAATTTTTTTTCTATTTATTTCATAAAAAAATTTAATTTACAATTATTTGTCTAATTTTTTCAGGAAAAATAAAATTAATTACAAGAAATATTGAAAAATTGAAGTCAATACAATTAATTAGGAAAAAAATAGAATTTTTTATTTTTTATTTCGCGAGTTTCTATAAATTTTTTTTTCTCTATTAGGAAGAAAACCAGTTTTAGTCTGCGAAAAAAAAATTATGATCCGTTGTTTACCTCTTAGATTCTATTTTTGGATTTTTATAATTCAAAAAAAAAAGGAACGTTAATCCAAAAATCCATTAAAAATTATCTTGATCATTAATTTTATTTTCTCCCAGTGATATCATTTTATTTAGTAACGTCACTAGTGCTTGGGATTTTTTTTTCGTTTTCATTTTAATATACAGAGGAGATAAGGAAAAGTTAAAAATAAATGAAAAGGAAAAAAAACTTTTTTGCAATATGCCAGAAGAAAAAAAATTTGTTATTTAACATAATGGAATATTTTTCGTCTAATTTTCTTGGAGGAAATATTTTTTGCATTTTAGAAATATTTTTTTCAGAAAATAATTTTTTTTTAGAATTTAAATTGTTTTTGTAATTTTACTAAGACTCTAATATTTTTTTTTTTTTTTGAAAAATAATTTTTTTTAATATTAAACGAAGAGAGCGAAATTTATTCGTTTTGTTAAAGAAAATGATAATTGATAAGAGTCTAAATTCAACTTAATAATTGACTTTCCTCGATGATAAGTTATTCTGTTAGTGGTTAAAAATAAATTCTACTGAAAAACAAAATTCTTATTGCAAAAGAGGTCTTTCCCCTTTAATAGAATCTTATCTTATTTCATAAACAAATTCAAATTTATACATTTATTCAAACAAAGTTAACCAATATGTTTACAATTACTTTTCTGATCGTTTTATTTATTTTAATTATTCTCCATTGAATTTTGTTTATTTTTGTAAATAATAATTCTTTTCTTTATTGATTTTTTAAAAATTTATTTTTAGCTCTGGGAGCAGCAAAAACAATTGGAGGAACAGAGGAGAGAAAAAGAGAGACTGGAGGCTCTTAGGAAAAAAGACAAACATGATCACAGTGCAGTTGCATCCACAGAAGTCAAACAGCGTCTTCAGGTAATTTTCTTCATAAAGTAGAAAATTATTTTTTTTAAAACACTTTATTATTTTAGAATTAAGAGATATTTTATTTAATTTTGAAAATTTCTTTCATTTTCTTTATTTTTTTATTAATTATTTTTCTTAATTTATTTAAATAATTTGATTTATTTTTATTTAATAATTTCTAAACTGAATACGAGAATGAAAAATTTATCTAATTTTAATGAAATCTTCAATTTGAGACTTAATTAAATTTTTTTTTCTTCCATTTGAAAAAAAGTCTTTTGAAACAGATATAAAGTAAAGACAATGAAAATACTTTACGGTCCAGGGAAATAAAAAAGAGCTCGCGGCTCTTAAAAGACCTTAATAAAATCATAAAATATATATAAAAGTGTTGCTTTAGGGACTTGATTTTATAACTCAAATTCTTGCCATAAAGTGTAATAAAAACGCTTCTTTTAATGATTACTTCCATGACTGCTTGATTCATTGTTTATAAAATTTATTTCATTTCAGAGTTTTATCGTCAATAAAAAACAAAGAGAAGCTGCAGCAGCAGCCAATGGCAATGTACCTGGTTCGCCCGGATATAGAAATTGGTACGTTCTAAATTCACTTTTCAATTTCATCTACTTCCTTTTTTTCAAAAAAATTCTTTTTTGAAAAAACAAATTAAATTCAAAATAATTGCTTCATTTTTTTTCTTTTCCAGTGACATGGGAAAATTTTCTCATTTTTTATGAGAATGTAAAAAATTTCCGACGAAAAGAGAGAAAAGACAGAATTTTTCTCCAAGAATAGAAAAAAAGGGGGAATTTATTTTGAGCAAAAATGAAAAAATTCAATTACGAGACTTCTTGAAATTTACGATGCTATTTTAAGGTTATTGGTAACCTTGATGAGCGTTGTACCATAAATTCCCTTATCTTTAGTCATATGCAAAGTCAATTGAAATTCAATTAGGCACGTGGAGAGGAATTTTCACTATATATCTACGTGTCTTCCGTCACGTTAACAATCGACATTGACAAGAATCCTTTGAAGCTTTTTAGTCAGGAAACTGCATTGAAATTTCGATTGAAATTCAAATCGCATTCAATTTTTCAATCGCAGAATGATGAGAATTGTCTTTTCAATTTGCAAACTGTATTTTTTTTTCTTTTTTTTGTCATTTTTTTCTTCTCCATTTTCTCCCTATTCTATTAAGCGCAAAATTGTTCACTGCACAAAGTGTATGTGGAGAATATTATTTTAAGTTATATCGATAAAATTTCAACTGTCATTCAGTGTGAAATATTCGAGAAATATTTTAGTCATTTACTCTCTTTTCATCGAAATAAAAAATTTTTGGAGAAAATTTTTCTTCGTCACTAGAAAAGAAAAATAAAGCTTCTATTCTGTAAATTACATTTCAAATAATTTAATCTACACAAAAAATTTCCATAAAAATGTAAAGAACTTGTTCCAAATAGAATTAATTGTTTTTGTAGATAATTATATCCATAAATTTTTCTTTGACACTAGAAAACAAAAATGAGACATTTTATCTGAAAATTTTATTCCTGATAAATTTAATGGAATGGAATAAATTTTTGAATAATAGAATAATATTTTTTTCAAAATTGAATGAATAAGTTTTTGTTTAAATTGAATGAGAATTAAATTTGAAATTTTTGATTAAAAGGAGAAATTCCTTTTCTAAATACGAATAATTTGAAAACTGGTTTTCAGTTTGAAGAACTTTACATTTTGGATTTGCATACACATTGAAAATTTTCGCTTTTGAGATGAATCCATGTTTGAATACGAGCCAAGTAATTATTATTTACAAACCCAGAGGCATCCTGATGTCCCAGTAAATGTCTTTGCCTTCCAGATAAAAAAGTGAATATTTGCCGAGGGATATTTAACCTTTTTCTCCAGATTATTTTTTTGTTTTCGATCATTTTGAATTTATTTCCAAAGGCAAAGACATTAATTATTTTTAAATTCAAAAAGAAAGTAAATTAAAAATATTTAAACATATTAAATTATATTTTTATATTGTAATATTTTTAAAATATTAATAAGGACAAATAATTAAAATTTCGTTAATATTTTCCTTTGCAATTTCAGGTTGCAGTCGCAGTCGGAATCTGGTAGCTCGCCGAATGCTTCCCATCCGTACAGAATGCCGCAAATTCTTCAGGACAAATTCGGCGACGATTTCCCCCTCCGAAAAACAGGTAGATAAAAAAAATGCAAAAATTTCGAGTGGAATCGCGAGTGGAATGCCTATACTAAAGCATGAATCAGCATTGCCAATTCTCCTTAATTAATCAAAAATAATATCAATTTTTTTCAATCCTTTTGCCACTTTCTCATCAAAATTTTTATTCTTAAACAAATTCAAAATAACCAGTTCAAAAGAATTTAATTTCACTTTTTTTTGACATTGTCTTTTCTTTCTTCTTATAAAAAAATAGAAATTTTCGAACAGCAGAGATTTTTCTTTTAAACAAACATCTTTGTTTATAACAGCTTTCTGTTTATTCTTATTTTCCAAATAAATATAAATATTGTATATTATTTGGTTTTGGTCTAAATGAAAGGTGAAGGTATTTTTGTTCAATTTTTGTAAATTACTTGTAAATGTTCTCTTATGTTCTCGACTAATTTTTTGTATATATATTTCTCTGTAGAATATGTAAATTTTATTTATTTATTTTCTAATCTATCACAATACCTTTTTTTTACTCATTATTTTCAGAGGCATTTTATTATTTTTTACCTTTTTAAAAATTATATTCAAATTGAAACAGTTGAAACAGTTCTTGAGAGAATTTTTTGAAAAGCAGTTTTTTAAATTAACAAATTTGAAAATAACTAATTTTTACTTAAAAAGGAAAAAATTGCAAATTAAAAGAAATTAATAATTCCAATATAAATATGAAATTAAAATTAATAATTAATAATTAACGCAGCTTAGTATCGCTTTCGCGAAATTTAAAGCTTGCGTTTCATTTTCCTTGCAAAATTAACGTGCCTGCTGATTATAAAGAGAATGCAAACGAAAGTTTAAAATTCACAATTTACAGCATAATTGCTACAGTTTGTAAATTTCATTGTTACTGTTTTGTAATCATTAATATTTCTCTATAAAATGTAAAGCTTTTTAACAATTACGTAAACGCTTTGAATTAAAATTCGGAATTATAATTGTTTCCAAATATTGAAATTATTGTAAAATCAATATAAATTAATTAATACAAAATGAATGTAAAAATTAAATTTCTATTCAAGTTGTAAATTAATAACTTTTTTCTTGTATAGTCGGAAAAAATTTTTTTCTGCTCTTTTAAATTATTTTTGATGGAGGAAAATAATTTTGACGTGAATCTAAAATTTCGTTTGGCGTATTCTTATTTTTCATGATAAAATTCATTTTTTTAATGACTGTATTGAAAAGTGTGTTGCTTGCGTGTGTGTGACTGTGATTCGACTGGTACATCGAGTCGAATAAATTGAAAAAAAAGTATTCGACTGGTGTACCTGTTTATCTGGTACGATAACTAACCCTGGCTGAATCGGCCAGCCTCGGAGCCTAATCTGCTGAAGGTGCGACTAAAGCAGCGTGTGATGGAGAGGAACATGGCCGCGTCCAGAAATTCACCCCTTATGGCACGCAGGAAGGACCGACTACTGTCGCACCTCAAGCGGAAGTCACTCCTAGCAAGTACGTCCTATTATGCATTAATTTCCCTTCTATACGCTAAAAATAAAAAAAGCGCAATAAAAGTCAAATACTCAACGCACTTTGCCAGAAGAAAAAAAATAGAATTCAAATTTCACATCTAAAAAGCTATTAAATTTCTATTAATTACAAAAGTATATTCAGTTTTAATTATATTTCAATTTTCAGTCATTTAATTAATTTCATATTTTTAAATATATTCAATTCCAAAAATTATTTATTTCTAAATCACCTTTTTCTCGTTTTATTATTTTTTTTTATATCTTTTTGTGACGAAGGCAGCGATTTATTTTTAATGGTTTGACGATGGCCTGTTTTTGCACCCTTTTTTTTGAGTAATTGATGTTGAATTGACTTTTGCTAGTGTACAGTAACCGCATGGAAAGATTATTAACACAGCATTTGAAATAAAAAAATAAATCTTTTTTTCGTTCTTTTCTAAATTTCTAAAAATTAAAAAAAAACGATATATATAAAAACAAAATCTTTCAGTTCTACATCGTCTCATCTGCTGCATTTGTACAAAAAAAACAAATTTATTTTATTACACTGAAAAAATTGCTAGAAAAAAAAATATTTCTTTATTTTTTCTCTCTTTCCCTCTTTCTCTTTCCTTTAATGTTCGCTATTTTTTGTTTCTCTATTTAAAGAGAAGGTCCGCTCTCCGCTATTTTCAATTAAAAAAAAAAAAATTCGCTATAATGTGGAAAGTATTTTCTTTTCCTTTTTTTTTGGTGTGAGCGATGTATTATAATTGCTTAATATTGACTAGCAATGAAAATTTTTGCTGTTCTTTGAAAAAATCGTATAGTTCTCAAATTTAATAATTTTGAAAGAAAAAATTTAAAAAATCATTAAGTGTCTGTCATCTGTGATTAAAATGACAAATCAATTTTATTAATCTTGTGACATTATAGGTTTTGTAAAAATAATTTGCAGAAATAATTTTCTCCTAATTTTCTGAATTAACTCATTTTCTAAATTAATTAAATTGATTTACATTAAAAAAGTTAATTTAACTAAGAAAATAATTTTCATTTGTACAGTAATGATACGCAGGATGGGACTAGTATATATATATATATATATAATTGGAGACGTCATTTTTTCAGTGTAATTTTTAAAAAGAAAGGTTTTAAATTCGAGGTGATGAAAAAAAAATGGAAAATTTCACTTTGATTTTTTTTTAGATTCTGGTAGCAATCCTGAATCCGGACCAAATTCACCACCGACGATGAATAATTCTCAATCGAGTCCAACAGCCGGCAGTAGTACACCAATTCAGGAGGTGAGAAAAAATATTTTTTTGTTGAAAAAGGTTCGAAATTTATTTAATTTGCTAGAATTTTTCAATTTTTAAGAATTGGATGAAAGAGTTAATTTTTTTCTTTTCAATTTCCAGGAAGGTGAAAATGTACAGTATGGTGGAACGTTAACAAGCAGTAGTCAACAGGGTAGTCTCTCGGATCTTTCCCTCTTTAGCTCACCGTCCATGCCCAATATTTCCCTCGGTCGTCCTCACGTGCCATCTAGTTCGACGGTAATTACAATTTGATTTTAATTTTCCCTTTTTTAGCATTATTTAGTTATTTTTAAAAAAGAACTGTTAATAATATTTTATAATCTGGGCTCGAACTAGTCCCTGTATAATAAATTGAATTTAAAATTTTAGAGCGGTACAAAATTAGCACCAGTGTCGGAAGCGGAAGTGAGAGCGGCGTTTACGGCCCGATTGGGAATGCCACTGACTGGACAAATGTTGCCGGGAACTTTGCCATTTTATCCATCTTTAACGGTGATTGAGGGAGAGCCAACTTACGTTCATAAGCAAATGCAAAATTTGGAGCAATCTAGGCAGCATCCAATGTACCACGGAAATCCAATAACGGATACTCAAGTAGCACACGCAAGACTGCATAAGGCTGGTCACCGGCCTTTAGGTAGTATGTTCTCTCTTTTTTCGTTCTCTTAAACTACGTGTCACGTTCTTGGAAATTCGTCCTCGGTCAATTCATCCTCCAAAAAAAGGACACACCCGAGACGTATCACGTATTATTTTTTAAGACCCTCGGAAATTCTGCAGAATTAAACACCTTTTTTCAATTTTTTAAAATTTAATTTAAACAAGTAATTTAAATAAGTTTTAGTTAGAATTTTTTTAGTTTAAAATGTTTGAGTTTACAATTTTTTTAGTTTGAGATTTATTTATTCCGAAGGTCTTAAAAATCGCCTTGCATTGGATTTATGATTAAATTTGGAATTTGTCGGATTTTTGTAGGTAGAACACAATCGGCGCCGCTGCCATTGGGTCATCCGATGCTGCAGGGTGGAATGATTGCGCCGCCGACTCATTATGAGGAGTACCTTGCCGAGAAGCAATTGCACGATCAACAGCAGCAGGCGCATAATTATTTGAAGCAACAGATTCGTCAAACGGTGTTGACCCGCGTGGGTTCAAGGGGTCAGGCTAATCAATTGGACGAGGCGTCCGAGAGCGAGGAGTCGGAAGTGATAGATCTCACTGGCAAAAAGGACTTGCAAGAGGAGAGTGAGATTTCAAAGCAGCAACGTGATCGGGAACAATTTCTACAGCAACAAAGGGATCTCATGATGAGACACACACTTCAAAACGAATCGACGGCCTACTCTGGCAGCAGGAGTACACAAACTGCCAGGCCACTGTCCAGGGCGCTCTCCAGTCCTCTTGTACATTTAGGTAATTGGTTAATTTCGTCGATTGTCAATTTCATCAATTTAAATTAATTTTTTTAATCAGTTAATATACTCTTTTTTGAAATTGTAACTAATTTGAAAATGAATGATCGGCAGGATCTCAGGGAGGTGGGGCAGACGTTTTTGCCCGGGGCTCACCACATCGACCGACCACTGGCCTAGCTTTCGATCAGCTGATGATGAAGCATGCCTGCGTTTGCGGGGAGACGGTCAGGGGTCATCCCGAGCATGGAGGAAGATTGCAGAGCGTTTGGGCCCGACTATCCGAAACTGGATTGTTGCAACGTTGCGATCGAGTTCGTTCTCGAAAGGCAACGCTCGAGGAGATTCAAACCTGTCACAGCGAAGCGCACACACTCTTATTTGGTAAGCTCTCAAGTTTCTATTACATTTTTATATTTCAATTTTTCCAATAGTTTTGTTTTTCAGTATTTTATGGAAATAAATTTTATTTTAAAAAAATTCATTGCAATTTCTAAAAATAGTCTTATCTTTGAATAAAAAATAATAAAAGATTGGAAAAAATTGTTTGAAAATAATTACGCTTACATTTTTAGGTACAAATCCATTAAATCGTCAAAAATTGGACATGTCGAAGCTCTCTCATTTGCCGATAAAAAGTTTCGTGCGACTGCCTTGCGGTGGTGTTGGAGTTGATTCGGACACGACGTGGAATGAATTGCACACTGCACCGGCTGCAAGAATGGCCGTTGGTTGTGTGGTGGATCTCGCTTTTAAAGCGGCGATGGGCGATATTAAAAATGGTTTCGCCGTTGTCAGACCACCGGGACATCATGCCGAGACAAATCAGGCAATGGGCTTCTGCTTCTTTAATTCCGTCGCAATCGCTGCGAAACTTCTTCAACAGAAACTCGATACCAGGAGAATAATGATTCTCGACTGGGTAAAAATTATTTTTACTTTCTATTAATTTATTAATACTATCAAATTTTTTCCGATTTTTTTCTCATCTTTAAATTCATTTAATTTCGAACATAAATAAAAACTCTAATGAAAATTAAATAACAGAGAATAACAGAGAAAATTCGTTTAATTGCAGGACGTTCATCATGGTAACGGAACACAGCAAATGTTCTACGACGATCCACGAGTATTGTATTTGTCAATTCACAGGCACGATGAGGGTAATTTCTTCCCGGGCACGGGCGGACCAACGGAGTGCGGCGCCGGAGAAGGTTTGGGCTACAATGTGAATGTGGCCTGGTCGGGTGGATTGAATCCGCCGATGGGAGACGCCGAATATTTGGCGGCATTTCGAACAATTGTCATGCCAATTGCGAAGGAATTCGATCCCGATATTGTCATTGTTTCGGCGGGTTTCGACGCGGCAATTGGTCATCCAGCGCCTCTTGGAGGCTACAATGTCAGTCCCGCTTGTTTCGGACGCATGACACAGGAATTATTAACGCTCGCGGACGGCAAGGTGGTTCTAAGTTTGGAGGGCGGTTACGATCTCGCCGCAATTTGTGACTCGGCCCAGGAATGCGTGAGAGCTTTACTCGGCGATGATCCAACGTCGCTTCGCGAGGAAGAACTCACGAGGATTCCGTGTCAGAATGCGATTGACACTCTACAGAAGACTATCGCTATTCAGGTAAAATTGAATTTTAATTAATTAATCAAATATTTATTAAAAATCTACTTAAATTATTAATAATAAATTGTTGTAGTATTTATTCATAATTGAATAAATTCGAGACAATATAGATAAGGAAAGTTTTATAATTGACTTAAATTTAATTCAGATGTCACATTGGCCGTGCGTTAAATTAGCTGCGCACACTGTCGACATGAGTGCAATTGAAGCAGGTCAGAAAGAACACGACGAAACCGAAACCGTTTCCGCAATGGCTTCATTGTCAATGCAGCAGCCCACAAATCTTACGTAAGAAATTCTTATTTAAAAATTAGAAAATAATTTCTTTAATATGTAATTGTAATAATATAAGTATTCATTCCAATGGCATAAATACTAGTGATTAAAAGTCTTTTTAAAATAAAACACTTCTAATTGAAAAATAATGATATTTATTTACACTTTAAATTCTAATTCTAAAATTAAAAAAATAAGAGGAGAAAACAGTTTCTAAAAGAAACTTTTTTACGTCTAACAAAAGAAAATATTAATTTGATTTTCTAATTTGGTGATTTATTTACAGTACGACAACAGAACATTCCCGTGAAGTTTCCGATGAGCCAATGGAGCAGGATGAAGCTAAATGAGGATAACTACGCTGTAGTGCATAATTTTTTTTCCGCACAATTAAAGCGGAATAAAATAAATCTTGTTGTTGAGAAGCTTCTTGAAAAGAAGACTTTGAAAAATCGACACAAGTGAGTATTGTTTGTCAATGTATTTCGCCTTGGAGAAATTACCGCAGGATTTTTGGCAATGAAAGCCAATTTTTGCACAAGTTATTTCTCCAAAGACAAAGATAAAAAAAAAAGAATAAGCAAGTACTTAAAAAGAAAAGAATACTTTCTCAAAAGTATAATTCACACTGCTTGCTATTTTACTTAACATACAAGAAAAAAAAATGTAAATCTTTACAAGATTTGCGAAAATTGTTCTCTTTTTTGCAAAAAAAAAATTTAAACGTGCAGTGACACGTTTTTTTTTTAATTTTTTTGGAAATATGTGTGTAATCGAGTCTTAAACGACTTAAAAAAGTCTAGTAAATTTTTCATTTTGTCCCAAAAAAAAAATGTTTATATTCGGCTTATGATGTCCCATCTACGATAGGCATAAGACGAAAATTTTGTAACTTCAATGACGAAGTAAAAAAAATATAAAAAAAAAGATATTGTAATTTTTCAGGGAAAATGTTTTTGTCTGGGTCGCGGGTCGATTGTCAGGTACATTTTTTTAGTACAAGAATTGAACAAGTTTTTTTTAGAAACAAGTGTAAAACTTTGTTATTTGTATACGTAGAGATGAAAAAAAAGAAAGTCCGTTTTTTATTCGCCAAGTGCGCTATTTTTCCGCCTCAGTAAACGAAAAAGATAGTTTTTTCTAAGCGGCTTCTTCAAACCATTTGCATTAAATTTTTTCATTGTCATATAAATTATTATTGATCGAATTCAGTGTGTGAATACTCGAATTTGTGTCTTAAAAATAACAACGAATGCATTACAGGACTTTGATTTAATTGATTAGAATTAGAATTCTTTTTCTTTCAACCAATATTCTTAAAAAAGAAAATTTGTAAATTTCTGTTTTTTTTCTAAAAATTGAAAACAACTGCAAAAAAAATTGCAAAATCAAGAATTATGAATATTAAAGAATCTTTAAGTTATTTAAAAATTCAAAACAGTTGAGAATTATTTCAAGATCCGAAGAAAAATATTGTTAAATGTTCGTGTATGTATGTTTGACGTAAGGGCGTTAAAATTGTTAAAAAGAATAGCAACATTGTTATTAAAATGAATTTTAATAATGTTGCTTGATAAAATTAATAATGTAATTGAATGTGAGTTTAATTTTTTTGAATTCAATTCACTGGCATTTTTAACAAAGACAATTCATCCAAAGAATAATAATTTTTATTTTGTCTGTATAAATTGATTAAAAAAATTTTTGAAAATCTTATTTTAATTTATATTTTTTCAAATTAAAACATTCGCATTTGAAATTAATTTTTAAAAAAATGTCAGTAGATTGATATTTCAATAATTTTAATATGCAATAAATCTATTTTTGAGCTCTTAACAGAATTTGCGATATAATTGGCGAATGATGAAATAAAAAAAGACAATAGAGTTAGATTATTTCTCAAATATACTCTGCCATTAAATGCAGAGAAATTTGCGCTTTTGTGCTGGTCACTGGCGCTCAATTCCCTCCTCTTTCTTTGAAACAAGAGAAAATACTTGAATTTTTTTCAAACATTCTTATAATCGTGCTGTTCCTAATTCAGCGAGGCTTGAATGGGGTTATACATAATATATATTTTTTTTCCTTTTTTTCTTTTTTTTGGTAATGAAATTACGCTGTTTTAATAAAAAAAAATCGATGTAAAATGTGTGATTGCTATTGATCGCGAAAGAGAAGGCAAGCAACGAGTTGTTGCTCAAACGTGATTCTTAGATTACTTGGTTTTTCTCCTGCGAACAAAGGCTGGTGCGATTTTTTGTGATATTTTGTAAAAAGTCTATTAAGCTATTGATGATTCATTGAATGAGTGAATGTTAAAGAATGTCAAAAAGAGAGTGCACGAAGGAAGAGAGAAACAAGCATTTATTTTTGTGTCATGCATTTTATGAGAAAAAAAAGAGAGCGAAAGAAAGAGAGAGAAAGAGAAAGAAAAATAGTTACATGAAATTTATTGATTAACCAATTACAAAAAGATGCTTTATATATATGAATAATATAAATATGAATTAAATAAAAAATAAAAATATATATATTAAATATACATGTATATTGTATTAACTGTATAACGACAAAGAAGACGTTCGACAAGAATCTCAAAGTATCTGTCGTTAAATGTTGACAAAAAAAAATTTCGAATTATCTGGCAAATTATATAAAAAGAAAAATAAAAAAAAATGTCCAGCCTATGTTGTGTGTACGTGGTTATAAGTTATAATGTGACTAACATAAGAAAACTTGTTAGGTGTAAAACTGTTTTTGTCATATCGCTGTAGCAGATTATTATTTTCTAGAAAGTTAGGCTGTATTTATATTTAAAAATGGAATAAGAAAATGAAAAACAAACTATTTATTATTTAAGAGCGTTGGCTCGACGCTGGAGAGATAATGCGTCTGATGCCTGTCGCGATAAATGAAACGTAATTTAGATAAAAAAAAAGAAGAATATTTAACACTGATGGCCTAGAAAAATTTGTAAATTATTTTATTTTGGCCGAGATTTTTTTTTGTTATTTATATTTTTTTACAATACATAGTTATTAATATTATAATTGTTTTTTTTTTGTTGAGAATCGCGATGGCGCATTACGTGTAATACCAAAAGCTTTAAGTGAATCTTGTTTGAAGCGATAGAAACTCGTGACATTCCGGTATCATTCGTAAAACACATTGATACAAATTAGGTTGTAAAGTGCGAGAGAAAAAAATTTAATTAAGTTACAATGAATATTAGGTATAAGTGACACAAGCCCATAAAAAAATTATGTTATTGAACATGCACGAAGTAATGTCTATAAATATATTACGTACAGTTATTGTAATAGTCATACATTTTTTATGTATATAAATGTATCTCCTAAACTAATTTTAAATAAAAATATAGTCATTGTGTTAAAGGATGAGAGAATTTATTTATTTGTCAAATACTTTGGTTTCTTTACTATTTTCTCATTACCTTATTTTCTCAACTGATAAATCAACTGACAAATTAATTAATCTAATAAATTTTTTTCATAAAGTAATTTTTTAATTAAAAGTCCTCATTTTTTAATAATAATTTGATAAATATTGATAAAATTATAAATAAATTGATAAAACTATAAATTAAGTAACTCGTTAAATTAATTAACGGATAATTTTAGTAATAAATAATTTTTGAAGAAGTTATTTTATTTAGTCTAAACTATTTAATATTTAAATTATACTTAAGTTTAAAAATTAAATTTTCGTAGGTGAAATCTGAATGAAGACGATAATGATGATATTCGACGAGGAATTAATTAAACTAATCTCCCACCATGTTACTTTTCGGTTTACAATTAGCCAAAATCAATATTGACATGAAATTCGAAATATTAATATTCAGTATCTAAATTTCTGTGAAACGTGAAAGTTGTTTTGATTTTCTTACTATAACGCAAATTTTATTTCATATTAAACAATATTTTTAAACCAAACGGACTTTAATATTATTAACAAAAGGTATTTCACTTTAATTGAATTTAACTGACTAATAATAACTTTAAGTAATTAAAATTAATTAATTTATTATTAATCAATAAAATTAAATCATTAAAGCTCTAATATAAACAATTAATATTAATTAATAGTTAATATAAAGCTCAATGCTTATTAGTATTCATAATGAATGAATAAATTTTTTATCAGTAATTAATTGAAATTGACTATTTTTAAATATGTCTTTCGTTAAAAATAGAATCATAACAAAATTGAGAATATTTGTTTCAATAGTAATTTTGAAGAAACTTATTTTAACAGTCACAATAATTTCGAAATATTACATTTTTATTCTAATTTTTAAAATGTTACTTATTACTTTTTCTTTAAATTTAGAAAATGGCACCAACGAAGCAAGAAAAACGAAAAGGAAATTCAGCAAAAACGAGTTCAAAATGCTGTTCTTCAAATGTACGAACTTTATTAAATATTTTATGAATTAGTAAAAAAGTTATTATTATTATTATTGTAAATATTCAAATATTAGTAAATAATTACAATTGACTTCTAATTGAATTTAAAAAATTTATTTATTTAATAGAGAATTTGATGAATTTTGATGAAATTAAATTGAAAATTTCACAAATTGTTTCGTAATTTAATTTGAAACAAAAAATTTCAGAAAACTGCTCCAAAGAAACAACAAAAAAGAAAAGGAACTACTAAAAGTCGAACTAGCAAATGCTGTCCTTCGTCATCATCATCAGAATCTGATTCTTCGATGTACACTTCCTGTTCGAGTTGCTATTCCGATTCATCATCATGTTCTTGTTCTGACTCATCATGTTCCTGCTTCTCAGACAGTTCAAGTTATTCTAGTGATGATTGCGCTCCATGTGCGGCTAAACGAAAAACACCAGCCAAAAAGAAAATTGCTCCGAAAACAAAGAAAACAACTAAAACTGCTAAGAAGAAAGAGCCAACACGTCGTACATGTTAGTATAAAGTTATTAATAACATAATAACTCGAAGTCATTATTTGAAATTTATTGCCCCTAAAGTTGTTTTTAATCAATTAACAAAAATATTATTTCAATTAAAAGAGAAGTTAGAAGAATAATAATCTAAATATTTAAATTTTTTTTAGATTCATTTTCATCGGATAGTTCTGACTGCTATGGAGGAACTTGCAGTCGTGTTCCATCGAAAATAGTTTGCAATCGCGGTCGCAAATCTAAGGCGTAATCCAAGCTCCAAAGAATCAGTTCCTTCTTTTGCAAATCAGAAAGTCAAAACTCTTTTTTATCAATATTCTGTACTTTTTGTTTTTTTGTACAATTTATAGAGTCACAGGCTGGTCCTGGAAATTTTGTATTTTTTAACATACGTTTGTTCGCAATGGGCAGAATTTTATAATTGTTTAATTGAAGTAAATTGTGTATATCTGTTACAAATCATTTGTTGACAAACATGTAACGATATTTATTGTATGTCTCGTTTTGCGTTTTGTAAATATTTATCATTATTTTAATACCAACAGTATTTTATTCTGAAATGGAGAAAGAATTATTTAAAACTGTAATAATAAAAATATAACAATGCTACTAGTAAAATATTATAATTAATTTAAACATAGATTGTAAATAAATATATGAAATAAAAAATACTCTTTTTCTTACCTAAGTTGCTTTGAAGACTTTAACGACGTATCAAAACTTTAATTCCTCTATATTCTGCAATTAATTGTTTGTTTCTTATTTGTTTTTCATAATTAATCCCATTTGTTTCTGTAAACGCTGTAAAATAAAAAATTTGTATTAAAAATTTATAACTTAGAAAAAAATTTTTTCATTAGTTAGACAAAAAAAATAAAAATGACATATTGTCACTAGATTTGCAATAACTTTGATCAACTTTGATATTTAAACATTTTTGAAAACAATAAAAACAAAAACAATTAATTAGGTTATGTTGTTTTGGAAATAAAATTATCGAATAATTCACTTCTAAAATTTTAAAACAGAATAACAGAAATTACGAAGAGGTAGTTCAAATGGGTAACTATAAATTCCGAGTAGAGGCGCTGAAAGCTTTTTCATTAATTTAGAGAGAAGAATAATGTAGTTCAGAAAATTTTTTATCAGGATGGCAGAATTATAAAAGAGGTATTTCAAAGCAACAAAGACCAGAGTGAGACAACTTTACAATTATACGAAAAATTTTCAAGAGTCAAAGCGTCATCTGTTCGAAGTGTCAAGCACTTGAAGTTCCATTTGCTCGAATGATCAAGCAGTCAAAGGCGTCATATTCAAATTATATTTTACTTCTTATTATCACAACTCTCACAATTATAATAAATTAAAAGATTAAAGTATTTTACTCTATAGTAAAATCTCCACATGCAGTCTAATGTAAAAAAAATTCTGAATAGTCTTCAAAAAGTTTCGAAATTTAGTAAATAAAAGTCACATTTTTAATGACTAATGACACAGTCTTTATAAGTATACACAGTGTCGTTTCTATGGCAACAGAAAACAGTAGCTTGCACAAAATGAAATTCCCGTTTATGTAAAAAAAATGATTAGAAAAATCACTTGTCAATTATTAATTTTCACTTTTTTATCACTAACATTATTAAAGAGCAGTTTAACAATCAACAATGAAATAATTGAATATTTTCAAATTGATGACTGTCAACAAAATGAATATTTTGATACTTCTTCACTCTCGTGCATGGAATGCGATATAGACAAACATTTAGTTCCCTCAAAAGACCGTAAGTTTAATTATTGTTAAGTAAATTATTAAATAAACTGTTTTTTTAAATATTCCATTTAATAAATTTAATTTTTCTAATTATTATACTAATTATATTATATTTTAATATTTTTATTTTGGCAATTAGGTTTCAAATGCGAGTGTGACAATAGTAGTAAATTAATTGGATTTGAAAATTATTTACCAATATGCAAACCATGCAAATTTGGAACAATTCTCACGAGCGATGGAAAGGATTGTATTCCTTGTAGAAAAGAAAACAAAACTTTAAATTGTTCATGTCCTTCAAACAAAATAAAAGGTATGACAAATTTTTTAAATAATTTATAGATTTACAAATAAACAATCAACAAATAATAAATAAATACAATCGGAAACTGATTGATTGGAAAATTATTTTCTTAATTAAATAAATTTCTTTGAATTACAGTCGAAAGAAAATTAACTGGCGAATTGCTGGAGACTGTTGAGTGTCTTCCATGTTATCCGAAAGCGTATCCATCAAATGATGGACAAGTCTGTCTACCATGTAATGATATTAAATTCAATAGACTCACAAATTGTGATTGTCCCAACGAATCTTTTATTCGATTAAAGAATTACTGTTTTCCAAAAAATTATTCCTACTGGTTTGAACTCCATAATACTTATTTCGTCAATTTTCAAAATCAAACTTTTGAAAGTTACTATCTCAAAAAGAATCTACAATTAGCCAACTACTTGTGCAAGGTAAGAGGAAAAAAAGTATTTCCATAAATTTACTTTAAAGTAAGAAATGCAATAGTTTGAGAAATTGATTTTTTTAATTTTAGGATGAAAACAAAACGGCATGTGAACATTTATCAAATATGTGTGCATTGACTTTGTTCTCCAATGAAGCAGCCTGTAATTTTATAAGACTGAAAGATTCTTCTTTATTTTACAAAGAAGACTCTATTTCTGTTATAAATGGAAAGAATATTTCGCAAAAATATAATCTCGACAAACATTCCAATGTAAGAATTTTCTGCTTTAAATAATTAATTAATTTTATTACTCATGATACTTTCTTTTTATTTAAAATATTTTTTTCTTTTAATTTTCATATTTTAAATTTCGTTATTAGTAATTATTTTATTATTAATAGTGTTGCATAAAAAAAGAAAAAGAAATAAAAAAAAATGTCTTTTTTCGTAAAAGAAAAAAGTATTTCAATGCAACACTATTTAATAAGTAAATAAAAAGTTAACTGACTATAAAATTTTTTAATAAACTTTATTTTTATGATACTAAAGAAATGTAATTGGCAATTTTTCATTTAGGTGTTAATTTCTAACTTCAATTTATTAATATTTAATGTTCTTTATATTTAGAAAAGTACTATTGACCTTAAGGTCATAAAATATTCTTTAGAAGGTGAATTCGAATCTATAGACGTGCCATATATTTTTAACGAATTATTATATGTAAGGTTCGGAGTGAATATTCATAAACGACTAAAAATAGTGACAAGGGAATTAATAGAAAGGAAAATAGAATTTTTTAGTCCTTATCTGGCCTACAATAATGAGAATAAAGTCAATTTACATCCTCTTCCGATTTCAATACAACAAATAAATGAGGTAATGAAGCAAAACTATAATTTCTGTAATTAAAATTTTTAATTAATTATATTCACTATAATTAATAAAAAAAATGTTCTTATAGAATAAAGAAATTTCTCAATGGAAGCTGGTGAGAAAATTTTTCCTCGTTGATTCAGTGACAGGAAGGAAAGCAATGAAAAAATCTTTTAACGACAGTTTAGAAAGTGATTTGGAATTATCCGGTGTTCGTTATTTGAAATCAATCGAAATTTTGTAAGTAAAATATTTTTTTTACAGAAAAACAAAATAGAAGTAAAAATAAAATTTGTATCAATTTTTTTAGGATAAAAGTTCAATCGCTGGAAGATCATGGAAAAATATTTCCACCCTTGTTCACAATACAATATGCCGAATTAACTAGACAGCAGATTTTAAATGACGAAGAAATTACGGTGGATGTAAAAGTAAATTTTGTCACATCAGAGCAAGACATTACAAAAATAATTGGGGTAAACAAATTTATTTTTAAATTTAAAAAAATTTATTCTTAAATTAAAAATAATGTTTAATAATTCTGAACAATTATTAACAATTATCCATTTGTTAAAAATTAATGATCTTTTTTCTTTTGGATAAACTACAGATAACTGTTGGAATTTTCGCAATTTTCGCCGTAATTCTGTCAGCATTAAAAACTTGGACTTATCGTCGAAGAAATTATTCAAGTGAATTTAATATATCATTGATTCTGTGGTTTTTAATATACTTCCTCATATTTATTGCAAATATTCTTCTCTTTGTGTCAATAAGTACTTGTATATGTACATTTATTTTCTATAAAGGACAAACGATTTTACATATTCCACTGCCTGATAAAGCGGCAGAGACAACGATTCACATTTGTACAATAATTGCCTTTTGCCTCAAGGTAAGATTAATTCTATTAAAAATAAACCCTAAAGAGATTTTAAAAATTTATTACATAAATTTAATATTTTATTTACTTTTATTAAAATTTAATATTTAAACATTCCTATTTAATTATATTAAGTTTAATTATTTAATTAAATTTCCTATATTTAAATAATTTAATTTTTTCGTTTTTCAAGACTATCGAACTGATTAGTGTTCTTTTTCGTCAATGGAGTGTGAATTTATTTTTCATCGATTGGGAGCAGCCGAGAACAATAACGAGCTCAGTGGAATATTCTTCACCGAGGACTTCTCTCAAGAAATTATTCAGCGATAAATTAAATGGAAAAAATGGTGATGTTCCAAAAAGAAAGAGAAGAAGAATGACAAAAACAAAAATTCAAACGGAAATTGATAAGTCCCCGGTTAGAAATGACGAGGCAGAGAATGAGAGAATGAGTCCGAAAAAGTTGCCAGTTAGCGTTTGGAGAAGTTTTTTCATTGTTAATGAATTTTACAAAATTCAAACTAACCGGAGAGTTAGCATAATGTTTCAAATAGTTTCCACTCTTTTCTTTCTAGAGGTAAAACAAAATAAAAATTAATTTATGATTAAAAATAAATATTAATTGCTGTTAATATTTTATTTCAGGTAATTGGTCTGAAGAATTGGTCAATAGGAATTCCGGAATTGAGTATTAGCAATGAGAAGAGAACAAATGAATTGGAAAAAAATTACACATTACGTTACGGAATTGGAGCATTGGTTTATTTGATTCTCTACCTTTTTCAATGGCTCATGTCAATTTCATTCTACGAGACATACGTCCGAAAGAGAATTCAACGCTTTGTCGATTTATGTTCAATTTCAAATATAAGTTTATTTATATTATATTTTAAATATCACGGATTTTATATTCACGGAAGGTCGGTTCATGGTTTCGCCGATACGGATTTAGAAACTCTCGTCAACGATTTAAAGAAGGAGGAAAAAAATTTATGTCCCCATAGGGGACTTGTTCCTGGAACAATTGAACAAACATTTATCATTTCCGTTACATCTTCATTTCGAAAAATGTTGGAAGCTTCCTATGGTTCCGAAGGAATGGTAATACAATTTTCTAAACAGAAACAATTTTTTTTATCCTGAGAAATTTGAAAAATTAAAATTCTCTTTCAGTCAGAAAAGCGTTTTCTTCGAAAGCAGTATACGCGTTTTTTGAATTGGGAGAAATCAATTTTGGCTCATGAAAAAGTTATCAAATTTTTGTCAAAATTTATTGATCATTGCTTCAAGGATCTGGACTATGTGGTGAAGGATAAACTCTTTATAGAAAATTTATGTGACACGGAATTCGTATCCTCGAGGGATAAATCTGTTTTTTATCGAGGTGAAAATATAAATGTAAAATTAGGGAATTATTTAAAACTAATATATTTTTTTTTCTTTACAGATAATAGTAATTCTTTCGAATGTATCACTTTCTATGGCAGCGAATGGATACTTGGAACATTTGAAATTGCACTCTTTGTCGTCTCCCAAGCTCTTTTCCAAAACTACGTTATTGCTCTATTAATTACATTTTTAATCTCACATTTTCTTATGATAATCAACAAATGGAATGTTAAGCGGAATCTAACAAAAAACACACTGATAAGTAAAAGATTCCTCGTGTAAATGTATAAAGCATAGGGAGTTTTACTTTCAGCAATTTTAGAGTAAATTTCAAAGCTTTCGCTTAAATTCTAAAAATGATTTAATTTATCCTTATTTCATAAATTTATGTCATTTGTCTTTATTTTTAAATATGATTTTTCAATTAATTATTACATAAGTAATAGAAAAACTTTGTGATCTGTTTTTAAGACTTCAGTAAGGGGAAGATTTTCTAAATGAAAATATAATGTATATATTTTTACCATATTTTAATATTCAATAAAATGATGTTTTCCATTTTCAACTACTTCCATTGTTGTTAATATCCAACTAACTTCTCGATTCATAAATTAATAAACAAATTTTAATGGTGTCCATGGCCACCGTAATCAATGCCCAAAGCTTTCTCGGCAGCAATTGTTATGAGAAAAGCTGGAACTCCCACTTTCCAACCACGAAAACAACAAGTTAAAATCCTTTGCAACTTGGTTCCAAAACCTGGATGATATCGCCAAACTTGGTTCCTTGCCCATGGATCCTTTAATCCTAATTTTCCTAGATCTTTTTGTAATTTTACTAATTCTGGAACAGTCTCCCATTTGTATTTGGTATAACAGGGAATTTCTGGCACTGGATGATGTCCATGTCCACCCATGTTCTACGAAATTTAATAAAACTACAGTTTTCTTACAGTCAATAAAAGAAATTATTACTTATTAATTATTTCAAACCCTACTTAAGACTATTTCGTTCTTAAAATTATAAATATAAGTTGAAGAACGAAAATAGTGTTCAAACTGAGTACATTTTAATCAATTAAAAAATCCTTTTAAATCAAATCAAATTCTTTTTAAATATCTAAGAAGAATTATGACAAGTACATATTTTCAGAAAAAAAATATTTAACAATTAAGATTCGAGAAACATGAACAATTGACAAAAAAATTGAATAAAAAAAAAAGAAACTAAATTATTCATATTTTTATTGAACAAATATAATTGTTTCCACTTTTGGTTTTTGATGTTATATTTTATTAATTAATAAGATTAATAATTAAAATTTTGTACTCCAAAAATTACGTAACATAACCTAAAAGATGACAAAACCTATTGAATTTCCTATTTCAGACACAAAATTGGTTAATTATTCAAATTATCATTTACTGTAAAATACAAAACCTATATTTCACTTAAAGAAACTAAGTTATTAAATCTACTCACCAATAAATAATAATTTTGAAATAAATAATTTTTTCGACTGTCAACAAATAAATTCTCTTTGAGAAGAAAAAACACGAACTGTGAATTAGCCTTAAGATTAACGACTGACGATAAAACAGCATTCGTCTCTGATTGGCTGATGAATTTCCATCAGCGCGTGGGTTGAGACTTGAGACTCATTTTGGAGACCTGTGAATGCATATGTATATTTGTAATCCACTGCTTTACATAGAAAAGCTTCAAAACAATTCAATTTTGGGAAAATTTTGACTGAAATGATAGAGGAACACGACGAACAAGACACAATATGCGACTCAGTAGTAAGTAATATAAAAAACAAAAAAAAGTGTCTAAAAATATTATCTAATTCAAAAGTAAGAGACGTTTAACTCCAATGTTATACATTTCTAACCTCACTTTCAGAATTCACTAATAGAAGGATGTAAATTACCGGTTAAAATGCCTGGTACTGAGGATTGGCGTAAGTATTTTATCATTTAAAACATTAAAGTTAAGAAGATTCAAAGTACATTCTGTTTTTTTATTTTATTTTTCCCATTAATATTCAAAAAGTTTGCGAGTGAAAATAATTGTCACTGACAAGTGTACTGTGTACATATAACTTTCGATTCTATTTTCACTGGTTCCTTTGAAAATTAATGTGAAATGTTGTTAAACAATAATTCAATGAATTAATAGTTAATTTTTCTTTTAATTTCTCGTGAATTTATTATATAAAACTAAAAAATTGACACAATTGACATTTGTTCATTTTGAGGTTATGTTTGGAACGTGGTTTAATTGTTTGACATTTCGCTGTTGTTTTTTCTAATTCTGTTAATTTTTTAAATAAAAATTAGTAGTGAATGTCTATATTTGTTGTAGCGCAAGCGGAAATCATCAGTATCAAGGATCTCAGAGGACTTAAATGCTATTATGTACATTATGTAGACTGTAAGTGTGGAATTTATGCTAAAAATCAATTTTTCGCTCGATTTTTCTTTTCGTTTAAATTTTAGAAGTGTAGTAATTCTAAGTTTTAATTTTTTACCTTATTTCTTGCAGTTAATAAAAGATTAGACGAATGGGTAACGGAAGACTGTTTAGACACTCGGAAAGTTCAATATCCCAACCGGGATGTTACGGCTCCGGGTACGGGTGCTGCTACGCCAAAAAAACAAACTCAAAGCAGACCGCCAAGTCCAATTATTATAAATAGTGAACCAGTGAATGGTTCGGCTGTTCTTCAAGCCGCGTTACAAAAGAAAATAGCAAGTAGAAAAAGAAAAGCGAATTTTTTAGAAAATGAAGACTCGCAAGAAGCTCCATTACCTCCTCTTCCTTCGGGTGAAGCCAGTAAGTTTATTCTTTTTAGAATGATAAATAGTTTTCTAATTTTTAAAAAATTGACCACGAACTTTATTTAATAGGGCCGAGGCCGACTGGATCATTAGTTGCCCACCATCACGACGATGTGGTGACGCGAATGAAAAATGTAGAATTAATAGAACTCGGCCGTCATAGAATAAGACCATGGTACTTCAGTCCATATCCACAGGAAATGGTGAATCTTCCTTGTATATATATTTGTGAATTTTGTTTGAAATATCGAAAAAGTAGAAAATGCTTAGAGAGGCATTTAATGAAGTGCAATCTACGACATCCGCCAGGCAACGAAATTTACAGGAAGGGTTCGATATCATTTTTTGAAATTGACGGAAGAAAAAACAAAAGTTACGCTCAGAATCTCTGTCTATTAGCTAAGTTATTCTTAGATCACAAAACACTTTATTATGATACGGATCCATTTCTATTTTATGTGATGACTGAATATGATTCCCGTGGATTTCACATAGTCGGTTATTTTTCCAAAGAAAAAGAATCAACGGAAGACTATAATGTTGCTTGTATTTTAACACTGCCTCCGTATCAAAGGAAAGGTTACGGAAAATTATTAATAGAATTCTCCTATGAATTATCGAAATTCGAAGGAAAATCAGGTTCACCAGAGAAACCACTTTCTGATTTGGGTTTGCTTTCCTATCGAAGTTATTGGGCGCACACAATATTGGACATTTTAATGAATGTCAAGCCATTAGTTGAAAATGAAAAACCACAAATTACTATTAATGAAATTAGTGAGCTCACGTCAATAAAAAAGGAGGATGTTATTTCGACTTTGCAGAATTTAAGTTTAATTAATTACTACAAGGGACAATACATCGTTACTTTAAACAGGTGAGAAAATTATTCTTTTTTAGTAAATTTCACCCTTAAACTGACATGACGTTCTGAAAATGTTTCTCCTAAATTTTCAAGAAAAATAGATATGAATTTCCGGGCGTCATGTACCATTATTTACTTTTGAGTTTTATAGCATTTACGTCTAGGATTTTGTCCACTTCTAAACTGTGAGTTTAACTTATGTAACAATTGCGATAATTAACGATATTCTGATTTTTTATCCTTTATATAGAACTCAATTTGATCGTGGTAGAAAACTAACAAAATAGTAATAAAGCTATTTTTCTTTTTTTATTTGCAAAGATTTTACGGTGTGGTACCTTTCTACTCAAATTAATTCCACAAACAGGGTTGCCACAGGTCAGGGAATTCAGGGAAAGTAAAATTTGTCAGGGATTTTTATTAAAGTACTGGAAAAAATTAAATTTGCAGGATTTATAAATAGTTTTAATTAATTTTTTAATGTATATTTAATTAATTATTTAAAATCATGAATTTATAGAAGAATTTTATTTAAAAACAATTTAAAAAATTGAATTTTAGAGAAGTTACGAATGTTTGCAAAAATTTTAAATAATTCTCGTAAAAATTTCAATTATCTTTAAAAATAATAAAATTTTTCTCCAAAATTAAATTATTTTCATAAAGAATAAAAATTTCACAGGAATTTAACTATTTACACATTTTTTATAAATTTCTTCACAATAATTCAATTATTTTCATAAATAATAAATTTTTTTTATATTTTCTAAATTTTATTACATTGTTTTTAAATTATTGAATTTTTTTTTAAATTTTATTAAAATCGTAGATTTTGAAAATATTTGAAATACAGCGAAGAATATCATTATTTGTGAAATGTAATTGAATTCTTGCTAAAAATGTTTGCAAATAATTACATTTTTTGAGGAATTTATTTTAAATTGTATTAAAAATAATTTGAATCCTAAAAAAATTTTTATTATTTATAATAATTGAATAGATGTGAAAAATTTTATTATTTATAAAAATAATTGGATTCTTGCGAAGGATTTTATTAAAACTTTTGTAATTATGTTAATTTTTTTGAAAAATTTTATGGAAATTTAAATTATTATAAAACAAGAAGATATTAAACACTCCGAGTCGAAGACTCGGAGTGATTGATATCTTCGTGTTTTATAATAATATTCTTAAAAGTTATTGAATTTCAAAAGGTTTAAATTTGAATTTTTTAAAATCTTAATTCCTATAGAAAAATAATAATGATTAAATATTTATTTAAAAAAGTAATTATCGATGTTTTTTAATAATTTTACAATTAAAGAACATTTTTTTGAGTATCTAATCATTTTGAATCAGAATATTCTTTAGGGTCAGGGAAAAAGTCAAAATTTTGTCTGGAAATCAGGGAAAAGTTAGGGAAATACAAAATAAAATTATTGTAGCAACCCTGATAAAATAAAAATAATATGAGAGAAACTGGTGAATTTGAATTATATTTTTTTATTTCACAAAAAAAATTAGAATCAAATCAAAATAATGATTAATATATCCAAATCTTGTGATTTGGAATAAAGGAATAAACATTTTTCAATTTTTAATTTTGTTTATTGAAATATTGAAAATTCATTAAATGTGACTGTCCACGAGAAAGCACTTTATGTTGCTTTTTCAAATGCAAAAGTCAGAAGTTAAAAATATCAATTACTTTCGACAATATATCGTTTTAAAGATGGGTATGTCAAGCGTAGTTAACTTCAATCGTAGTACTTCAATCGCTCGCCCTGTGAAATTCACGTTTGGGAGCTAAGCCGTGTTTTCTCGTGGACAGTCACAAATTAAATATTAAATATTAAAAAAATAATTCCCGATTGAATGTTAAATTTTTCTTTTACAATTTTACTAAATGGACAATGTGTGTGGTTGCAGAGAAACAATTGAGCAGCACACAATAGCAATGGATAAGAGGCAGATAAAAATAGACCCAAAATGTTTACATTGGACGCCCAAGGATTGGAGCATCAGAGCAAAATGGTGAAGATTTTATACTAATTATGACAATAACGTGATGCTAATCCTACCATAAACGATTATTTACAGGAATCCGGGAAGTGACCATGTACGTTTATCAAATGTACAAAATTGTACATAATATTTCGACCTGAAGTCTTGTGTTTTAATAAGGCTCTCTGGATCAACGCGCGAAGCTACAAAAAAAAACATTATACGAATCATGTTTAATTGAGTCTTGGGTGAAAAGTGAAACCTCGAGGCATTTTTCTTTTTTTTGGTTATTATTATTTTTCTTTTTTTTTAATTGCAAATCTGCCCATTTTTGAAGCCAATGTTTTTTTTTAATACCGTGACTTAGATTTTTCTTTAAGCAAAATTAACTCATTACCTGTAAGAAAATGTCTGATGATAATGATGATGCTCATGTCGTCGATTTGTACAGGAATCCAGCGATTATGTAGAATTGTAAATAAATGTGTTTTTATAATTTTCGTCTTTTTATGCAAAATATCACAAGGAAATTATATAATTTTTTGAATTTTATTTGTAGAAATAGTAAAATTTTCGTAATTGAATTAGATTATTTTTTAGTATTGTTTGTAAATGTTTTAAGAATATTTTAACTTGATTAATTATCATTCAATAATTAGTGCAAAAATATTTCTTAAATAGCAAAATATTTAATATATGAATATTATTAATTAATAAATAAATATTAACATTAATAAAGACTAAATTCAAAAAAATTAAAAATTATATATTATTTTAGAATCAGAAATTAGAGAAGATTTATTAGAAATGATATTAGAATATTTATATTTTAAACTGTTTTTTTTACTAAAAAGCATCAAAGAAAAATCAAATTTCTATCACTTTTTCATTTATTGAAAATAAGTGAAAACAAAATTCAATTTAAATACTTGGGAAGAAAATAAAAATAAAAGGAAAAAATTAACTTTGAGCTATTCTGTGATAAAGAATAACAAAATGCAAGGAAAAAACTTGTTATCTATTGAAAGAAAGTTTCAGTTTATTGAGTCATTGTCGAATTCATTAACTATAACTATTTCAATTTTAATTGTATAACCATTTCTATTTTTTAATTTTTTTTCCATTCTGGTTTCTGTACAATTTTTATTTTCGACTGATTTCTGTAAAAATATCAGCATTGCTGTTAGGAAGAGAATCATCGAACTGCTGCAAACGAATGAAATATTTTCTTGCTTAAGTACGGCATTTTTTTCATATATATGTATATTATATGCGTGCATTTTCTCTATAATACACGCATCTAAATATACATTTATAATATATATATTTAATTTTCAACAGTAATCACAGTAGCTTCATGTACAATAAATTTCTGTCATATAGTTTTTTACATGTTGCCATTTTTTTCTTTATTTTTTTTTTTGTTTATTTGTATTCGTTACCACGCGAATCCGACAAAGACGAGTGCCAGAATCTCAACAGAATTTTTAAAAAAAATTTTTTATTAAATAATTAATAAAATGACACAATTTTTTAATCAGAAATTAAATTACTTTAAACCGTTTTCTAGAGCTTTCTTTTTAAATATTTTTTCACAAATAAAAAAAATATTAATAGAGATGAAAAAACTTTTAATTATCTACTTTTTTGATTTTCAATTATATAAAAATATTCTGTAACAAAGAATTTTTTTGGTAAATAGGGTTCATTTATTTATAATAAATTATATTTTTTAAAATATAAAAATTAAGATAAAAGATAAATTCACAATTATTAGATTAAATAAAGCGGTTAAAGAAATAAATTTCTGATCATTTAAAAATACTTGTGCCATGAAGTATAACAAATTTGTAAAATATTTTTCAACATACGGTCATAAATAATTGGGACTAATATTAGTAACTATCATACAGAATACAGTATAATTTTGATTTCTATCTACTGATTGAATTTTTACTAATAAATTATTATGAGCTTCATTTTTTTATGATTCTAAATGACTAAGACGATATAATCGATGACAATTTATAGTTTATAATTATATAATATATATGCTTATATTTTTTTTCAATATAGGAACAAATGATTTTTTTTCTCTCTTTTTTTTCAATGATCGTCGCAGCAGCAGAAACAACAATTTTTTTTTAATAACAGTATAATGAGAGATTATGATTGATATACAATATTGAAGAAAAAAATTTTCTTTTGAACATGTTTAACAATTAATGAACGAGAGGAACTTGCGTAAAAATTTATATTTGTCTCTTATTTTTATTTGATATTCAAGAACAGAAAATGAACTCTATGTGCAAGATGATAAGATAATAATTTCAAAAAAGATCCTATATAAAAACAAGTTTTTGGTGTATTTTTTTTTGGTTTGTTTCTCATTTAAATATATGACTTTTTTTAATGATATAAACGTAAAACTACGTGGAGTTTTTAACACCCGTCGCAAAGCTCTATTATCACGTGGTTTCAAAATATATTTTAACTTTATTTCGTTCCTCTGTCGTCGTGTGTGTATTTTTCTAATATATTTTTTATCATTTTTCAATATATTTCTTTTTTTTACGGTCAGCTTATTAGCATATATAGTACATGTACGGTTGAACAGTAGGCGGCAATGGCTGTACTTTTAAAGTTGACCGTATTAAAATAAATAATTTAAATTAAAAAGCAATTTTTCAAAACTTCAATTTCAAATTTTTATTTGAATTTATTCATTAAATTTATTTACTATTTTAAATTTTTCAGTAAATACTAATTGGATATTACAAGTTATAAAATACTGAATAAAATTTTACCTTTGCTTTTATTTAAAAATTATTTCAAACAAAAAGTGTTTTGTTTTTCTTTAATTAAGTACAATTTTTAAATAAACTTTTATAAACATTTCAAATTTGAAATATTTATTTCCTACACTATTTATATAATTTATTTATTTACAAAAAAAACTTTAAATTTAATATTAATCATCATCTTTTGAATAATTAAAAAATTAGTGATTTAATAAGGATCAACTTTTATTCAACCTTTTGCCTGAACAATAAGACACTTAACAGTTTTATTTGGCGATCTCCCAGTTTTTTCTTTAGGTGAATCGATAATCACTTATTTCTACATATTTATTTATATATATAATATATATATATATATTTATTTATATATACGTCATGTCTCGCATTGCTATTTTAAACAAATTAACGTAAATTACACATTAGGATATTGCGAAGACATTATGCTGGAAAATATTCTTATATATATTTACAAAAGAAGCTAACAATTTTTTATTTTTTTTCCTTTTAGAATGTTCGTAAATATATCTTTTTTCTTTATTTTATATTTTAAATTATAAAAAATTTACACAATAAATTACAAAATTAATTTTACAATTTTTTTTTTTTGGTTACTTGAAAAATTGTAAAAATGAAATTGACAATTTTTTTTGAAAGTTCAAAAAAATTGTAAAAATGAACTTGACAATATTCTTTTATTCTGAAAGTTCAAAAAATTGTAAAAAAATGAACATTTCTTTTTTTTCTGGAAGTTTAAAATTTGTAAATAAATTTTATGGAAAACTGTAGAAATTTGTGAGAAGACTTTTCTTTTCAAAGTAATATATAAAAAGCTTTTTAAAAATTGAAAAAATGTTCATGGAAATAATTAATCAATATATTGATACGTTTAACACACAGATCGTGTCAAAAATATTTTTCTTCGCTTTGGATTTTTATATTTATCTACCTACAAACCATATTTTATGGTTTTTGTTTTTCATTTTAAATATATTTTAAACAAGATACATCATTTGAAGATTTATTTACGTTTAAAAAACACTAAGCATTTTTTTGGTTTTTGTTCCCTTTCGTGACTGTTAAATTTATTCTTTTATTTATATTTTATATATATATATATTTTTTTAGTAAATAAAAAATAGAAAATAATTTTTTTTTTTTGAAATGGGATTTATTTTTCACATTCTGGATATGTTTATTTGTCACTTAAGAGGAAAAACCAATTTTTTTATCAGTTTTTTTTGTTAAAATGACGCGATTCAGTTTGCAGATTGAAAAAACTGCAGAGTTTGTTTTTGCTATTATCATTTTTTTTATATTTTATATTTTTAATATTTCTTTAGAATCTCTGACTTAGAATATTGAAGATACAAAATCTACAATAGAAAAACAGAACAGACTCCAAATATTTGTATTATCTCACATTCAACATCAACGCTTTCGTCATACAGCATTATTATTTAATTTTTTATTATTATTTGTTTTTAATTATATATAGCAATATGTATGTCTTTTTTTTAGTACATTATTAACGTTATTTATTTGCAATATATTGTTAATAATTTATGTTGATTAGTTAATACTTCATTGTATTATCATTAATGTTTTCTTTATCATACAGATTGTCATTTTTGGCCTCTATTTTCTTTAAAACTGGTTTTGAAAATTAATTTGACATTTTTAATGTCAATTATTGTTAGAAATTATTAAATTAGAAACTATTGATTTCATAAACTGAAAGAATAATTTTTAAATGCAAAATTCTGTTCTTTTACATTCGTTGAGGTATACAAATTTTTGGTAAAATTGCAAAACAAAAAAAAGTATGGAGGACCAATTTTCTTTTTTTTTTATCTCGATATACTTATTTTTTACAGTTTTTACCTATTTGTAAAAAAGCGCTGATTTTATTGCGCATATCGGCAAAAATTTTGATAATTTTCTTAAATTTGTATCTAAACTACGCAAAAAATTGTGCATTTTTTTTTCTTTTTGCATTTTGATATCGCAATTTATTTTTCTTTTAATGAATGCACGTGGTGCATTCTTTTAAGTTATTAAACTTTATGGCAATTTAATGCAACCACATATTTTTTTTTATCAGACTTTGCTCAATTTTACACACACCAAAAGATATTTTTCCTTTTTTTCTTTTGTTAAAAAAATTCCTCTCTTTTTAATTATATTTTATTCAAGATTTAAGAAAAAATTCTTTCGTATTTTGGTAGATATAACATTCTCATTTTATCACTTTTCTTGTTTATGAAAATTTTGAGCACTTTTGGTTCTCATAAACTTGTTTTTTTTTATCTTTTTTATATTTGTAATTTCTACAAATTATACAAAAATTATTAATTTTTAAATTAATAGAGAATAATAGCACCATTATTTGTTTCTTAAAATGGAAATTAAAATACAAAGTTTGAAAAGAATCTATTTCTTTTTAAATTATATTAAATATCTATTAAGATATGTAAATAAGAGAAAAATGTGTATAAAATTTTGTGGAAATTACAAAATTCATTCTAGAGACCAAAGTATTTGATTCATAATTGTTCTTTAACTTTTCCCAAATTTTGATATTCATAAACCACAATCGTAACTTTCCTGATTTTGTATCCTGTTTTGATAGGCCTCCAAGTATCGATCAACATTTCGATAAATTCCTGTATTTGCCTGATACATCAGTGTTTCCAGAATTCTTTCGTTTTTTATTGCCTTCGAAGGCAACACAATCTGTGAATGACAAAAACAAGTTAAATACTTCAAATTACATTGAAAGAAAAAAGATATAAAAAAATGTCTCACTCGAATAAGTTCCTGTGGCGTTATCCTGTACAATTTTAGATCTCTGCTTAATCTCTCCATAATGCAATCGAATTCCAATTTAGCGTCAATTTTATATGACTTTGTTTTAATTCGATGTTCCGCCCAGCTGAGCATTGCCTCGAATTTTTTAATTTCCACAACTTCAAGTCCACGACACATAATCATTTGTACCATTGACTCGCTCAATGTCAGAAAATCGGCATTTTGAAAAAGTTGATATGCCCTCGTTTCAACAAATGCAAGAATCATATTCACCAATTCCGAAGCCGATGTATATCGCCAATAATAATTTTCCAACGCACACAACATCACGCAAACAATTTCAATTCGTAAAAATTGTTTTGCATGATGAAAGCACGCCTGCAATAATTCTGGTAGATCATAATGCTCGGCGGCACAAATTAATCCAGGAATATTGCTACATGTTAAGGGACAAGAGCCAGTGTGTAGATAATCGAGGAGAATTCGAAATGTCTCTGGATCAAACTCAATTATATCGAACTGAAATTAAAAAAAACATTACAATTAATTTGAATTCAAATTTTTCAAAAATCTTTTGAGAAAAAATAAATTAAATTGTTTTTTTAATAATAATTTTTGATTAGAGATTTAAATTTTTATTTTAATAATAAAAGGAATATTTACTTCAGTTTGTGCCAATTTGGCTCGATCAACTTTTTGAGCATCGGCGCAGACACTCAATCTTGGAACTGCTAACGATTGAGCCGCCTTTTCCTTTTCCTTAAGTTCTTTATCTTCTGCAATTAAAAAAGAATTCATTTTCTCCATGTTAAATAATTATTATTTATGATTAAAAAATAAAAATTCTGTATTTGGATTTTTTTCAAAATTACATTTTTTTTTTAATTTTTGCTGAAACAAAAATATCAAATTAAAATTCTAAAATTTCCATTTCAACGTTAGTTTTTTTGAAAAAACGTCCGTAAAGTCCGTATTTTGAAGTACTTTTACTGGTTCGAGCCCTGCGTTTATGAATTTATTTTTTCACATTTAATTATAAATAGTATCTTACTGCTGCAATCCTGCGAACTGGCCCATCGTTTACGGTCTTCACTTTGCAGTGGATTCCCATGTTTCTTGATACTTCGTCCCCAGCCGGCAGTAATTGTTCCTAATCGTGAAAATGCCCTCTTCACCATAGGCGATGACGGTACACTTTTGGGCCTAAACATTTCAGAACCAGTATCTCACAGAAACCGCACAGCGGCACCTTGGGAATCGGAGGAACACCAGAAAGAGAGAGAAAGAGAGACAGACAGAGAGAAAGAGGGAAAAGAGAATTTTCACTTCAAAAAAGGAGACTGGATCTGGATATGGAACCAAAACTATTATTTTTCACCGGATTTTTGGACGAAAAAAAATTATTCCAATAGATATTGAAATGAAATTTAATCTGCAAATACAACAATAAAAGCTCTCTTTCAAAATTCCTGTATACGTTATTGTAGAAAAATAATAAAAAATAAAATTCATGCCGTACGAAAAAGCATATCATATCTTTACAATTACAAAGTGTATATAAAATAATTAAAAGTTAAGTAAACTTTCGAATTTACTTAAATTTACTTATTTTATAATTAATCTTCTTTTTTTTCTAGTTAAGTAGAGTTAAGTAAGCTCAAATACAAGTTTTAGTTAAACTTATAAGCAATTTCATCGATTAAATTTTCAAGCGAGTATATATATATAAGAGCAACTCTCATCTGACTTTGAAACAAAATTTTGCAGCTCATTATATATAATAGAAAAGTAGTTTACATGCCAATTAAAACTACACAAGTTTTGACAAGTTTACAGAGTTGACACTCAAATTAATATTAAAAAAGAGTATACACAATTTTCAGAAGTAAATTGAAAACACAAATAGTAAAAAAAGAATTCGTAAATACTGTAAAAAAATATTAGAAAAAATTTACGAAAGTTTAAAATTTTGTTATTTGTAAAGAATTATCCCGTTTTATAATTAGAAGTTTTTAAATCATTTCAAAAATCAATTTTAATCATTTTTCCTAATTTTTGCATCTTGGAATATTATTAGAGAAGGAAAATAAACTATTTACTATTCAAAACATACAATTTTTCTATAAAAGAAATTAAATTAAATCAAAACTAATTGAAAAAAACTTTTTTTTGATAAAAGAAAATAGGAACAAAATTTGTTAAGAAAAAAGAAAAGAACTAGAGAAAATATTCATGCTTGTGCTGTGAGGATAGGAAACAAGGATGTGCCTTGAAAAAAACGACATTACATTCATTAAGATACCAATACTCAGTATTACAATATTAAGATATTTTTTGTAATAATAGTAAAAAAAATATTAATCATTCGATATTAACAATTATTACTTCTACTGCTCGAGTTGAAATACAATTTTCCTTTACTACTGCTAATCAGAAAAGAAAGAGAAATAATAGAAAACAAAATATACTCTTTCATTTAGACTAGAAAATATAAAAACTTCGCTTACCTTGGACTTTCCATGTCTGGCACTTGAAGGAAATTCGAACTCTTTGGCTTTTGCGGACTGAGTAAAGTTGGTGCTGGCCTCGCTAATAATTCCGCGACTGGAACTTGTGGACTTCCGAAACCGGCTTGGATTCCGTATAACATTTCTTGGAAAACTCTGCAAATAGAAATTAAATTAAATTTATTAATTTATTTTGAGAAATTTAATTTATGAATAATGAAATAACTTCTAAAAAAATTAAAACTTTAGTTAAATTTTTTTTAGAAGTTTGAAAAGAACAAATTTTGTAATACAATTCTCGACAAACCTGCTTCTAACTCCTAAAATTGCGCGAACTCCAATAAATCGAACTTTCTGCTTCTGATGTCCAGGAACCAAAAACGAAACATCAAATAGACTCGCATTCAACGTAACATTCTCCGCACTATTCAAAAATACTTTCGTAAAATCTTTCGCTAGTTGATCATAATCTTCAAATTGGTCTCGAACAGAGTCCAATAAAGGCGAAGACGGTCTCATATGACCAATCGGTCTCCAGGATCCACGTCTATTAATTAAAGAAGAAACAAATTTAGAAACTTAAAAAAAGCATAAAATTATCAAATTACATTTTTTGAAGTATTTCGAAATACATTTTTCAAAATATTGCAAAATAGATATTTCAAAATATTAGTCAAAATATTTTATATTGACAAAAATTGTTTGTTTATATTTTCTATTAGTTTTAAAAATACCTATAAGGTTTTGGAATCTGTCCCGTTTCTGCGTGATTAGCTAAATTCGCCACAATATCCTCGAGCATTTGACTTCTCGTTCTCTCCTGCATTCTCGCAAATTTTGGTGCTGAATAACTTGCCCTCTCACCATTCACGATTTTCGTAAGGATCCATTCTCGAAACATTGGACCTTGCAATTTAAAAAATAATATTATAAATATAATTTGATTAAAAAGAAAAATTTTCTTTTAAATCCGTTTAAAAATATTTTATTTTTTTGGTAGAAACAAATTTTTCACTTTTTAGAAAATAAAAGAATAATTTAATGTAGGGGCACTTACCTTTTTCAAACACACTTTGCTCCCAAAGATAAGGCTTGTAAGCACCGACTTCATCTCTCGTTACTACGGAAACTTCGTATCGTGAAATTTTCCTTTTAATTTTCGGACTCACTCGAACTAATATAAATGTATGAAGAAAGTGTGATTTTATACAAGCTGGACTAAAACTGGTATTGTCTGCTTCCAAAAAAACAACGCACACAATATCGTTACCTATATGCCTCTTTCTTTGGAGCTAAAAAAGAAAAGAGAATTTTCCTTTTAATTTCAAATTTTTATTTTTGTTTATTATTTTATTAATTTTAAAATAAATTATTTTATAATTATAATTATTTGAATAATTTAATTTTTTTAAATCCACTTTAATACATATTCGATTAAAATGAATGTATCTCGTTCAATAAATTACAAATATTAATGAAAATTATGCAAAATTACAAGAGAAATATAGTTTGTTTGAAGAATAAAAGAATTTTACGACGTTCTATTTTTATTTTGCGTTAAATTGAAGAGAAAGTGACCCATATTTTTTATTCTGAAATCGGTTAATGTTTAATGATGCCGCAAAGCCCCTGAAGTGTCTCATGAATTTTACATGGAATAAAAAAAAATCACTTTTTCATAAAATCCCTATAAAATCGTTAAAAAATTAATATTTTTCAAATGCGAAAGTTACGTTTCTCTTGAGAAATATTTAGAAACTAAAATTGGAATTTATCACTATCGATGAAAAAGTTTCACGAGATGGAAAATTAAATCTTGGTAAAAAATGTAGGAAATATCATTCCGAATGTTTTTAGGTCAAAAATATTAGTGGGCCTAAGTTGGCCACCTTGCGTTTCTCAGAGATGGTGTACTGGACGAATCCATAATTTTGTGGTGTGATATATTGATAAACCATGATATAATTTATGGACCTAATTATAATCTAAGATTCTTCTACGCATTGTGAGGACAATAATATTGTTTACGACCAAAGAAATTTAATTTTTCTTCTTTTTCGAGAGCAGCTACAAGAGATAAATAATTAAAAATTTCTAAATGAGTGTGTGCGCTAGTTCCTTTATTTAATGTTGTAATAAGAGGTTCTGTTGATTTTTTAATTAAATTTTTTTTATTAGCGTAATAATTTGAAACTTGTAAAAATCTACAGTGGTCCTAAGTTGGCCACCTATTGTTTTTGTTTGTTTTTATTTATGTTTTGCTTCTTTTTTGTGTTTTTCATCACGAGAAAGACCGTAAAAGTGTAACGTAGGAATTAAACAAAGACAAAAAACAAAAAAAAAATGGTTTAAAAAACGTTAGAAAAGACATAGTACAAAAACGCCTGTCTCCACAGCCATCCACCGCTGCAAATAAATGAAATAAAATAATGCTTCATTTTCTGAACAAAAATAGTTCAATAATGCGTTTTTATTCTCCTAAATGTATCAAATTTGTGAAATTTCTTCGTAATTGAAAAGAATATGCATTTCTTACTTATACACAAGCGAAAAAAAGTGGTGGCCAACTTAGGACCGCTATTTCTGAATTGTCCAAAATGCAGCTTTTCACTATTTATTGTATTAAGACTACAAAAGCCATTCTAAAACGTTCTTAATACCTCAAAATTATAGCAAAACGATCTCTGAACACTAATATATACTTGCCGAAGTGATTAAATTTCATTTTGTTAATATTTTCGACCAGTTTGCTTAGGCGGCCAACTTAGGACCACTTTCCCCTATTAATTACACGAATTTAAAAAAAATATGAATTTAAATAGATATAATTCGTAAAATAATAATTTTGAAATAGTAATTTAAGTATTGAATTAAAAGAGGAAAATTGATAAGATTACCTTTTGAGAATCGTGTTTTTCATAGGGCAGTAGAGTTGAGACATGAAACATAATTTCAATTCCTCTCCAGTTGGTGTAAATGGAAAAAATTCCAGTTAAATCGTGAACAGTATCAAGGCCACCTTTGTACTTGTCAAATCCTTTGAGTCTGACCTTTTCGCCAAGTATGTGTAAAAATTCTTCAAATAAAAATGAGTTCTCATTGTTGTCAAGTATTTCTTCCTCGGTATATTGTCCCTCTTGAACATAAATGACTCCAACTTTTAATTCAGATTTGATGAACACTTGGTCAAGCTTTAGCAATTCTTCTGGAGTGTCAGGCAGTTGTCCCAAAGTCAATGGGGGATTAATGTTGACCTCTTTTCCTAAACTTCGAACCACTTCCTCTCGATTATATCTAAAAATTAAAGGAGTGAAAAAATGTGTAAATAGACAGAAAAAGTTGAGATTTGTACCGAATTTTATAATTTATTAAAATGAAATCAAATAAAATCTACGAAAATGAAAATTCTAATTAAATTAAATGGAACTCTAATTAATTAAAATATAGAAATGCTGCGATTTGTACTGAAGCGTATAATTAATTAAAATCAAGTTAAAACTAAATTCAAATCGAAAAAACTGAATTGTGTTTTATAATTTAATTTAAATTAAATTGAGATCAAATTTAATGATATAAAAAATTCGCTAAAATATAGAGAATTAAAAAAGCACAGAAAAAGAAAAATAGAGAAAACTGAATTTATCTAGACAGGTAAAAATGGAATTCGAAGAAAAAATGATCTCACCTATCAGCAAAAACACAACTCGCTGGTATGAGTCCGTGAACTGTGTAGCTGATGGCTCTAACGAGAATTCGAAATTGATCTCTGCCATTAATGGTTTCTTGCTTGATACTCAATATAACGGGTCCAAGATCCTCATCATTAGTAAAATAATTCCAATGTTCTGAGCCGTAAAAATATTTTTCGTACGTCTCTTGTTCGACTGACGTTAATTCAAAGCCAAGATTTTTCTCCCATTGCTCTTCGATTGTTGTTTTCTTCCTTGGAATATCATCCGTATCAACTTCATTCTCCTCGAATAGACAAAAATCCCTTCTCTGCTTAAATTGCTCCTGCTCACGTTCCTCAACCTGCTCGGGATCAGTTGCATCCCGATCGCTTTCACTTTCATCCCAAATTGTGTCCGATGTAATTTGTTGTCGCGAGCATTCAATCCAATAACCCGGTGTTGGTATTAAATTGTGAGGAAACTCTTGACAAAATTCATCTGCAGAACAAAAGAAATAAAATATTTTCTCATTAAAATTCTATTTTTATTTTAATGAGATTTTATTTTATTTACAAAAATTTTATAATTCTAATTTAAATTTCTTTGTGCTTTTTTTTTAAATAATATAGTTTTTTGAATAACTTTAATTGAACATTTTTTAAAATAATTAAATTAAACAAAGAATTTTTTTTAACTTTTTAAAATAATCGTGTCTGTTTTCTGTTACTAATTATAATGAAATATTTGATTTTTGAAGTTTATTAAAATTGATTTGAAAATAATTATTGAAATCCTCCGAAGAATTTTTTTATTAATGAAAATAATTTAAATCATCCAAAGAATTTTTTTTTATGAATATAATTGAATTTTTGCGAAGAATTTGTTTCAAATTTTTGAAAATAATTCAAATCCTCCGTAGAATTTTATTATTAATGAAAATAATTGAAATCTTCTAAAGAATTTTAATTTTTATGAAGATAATTGAATTCTTGCGAAGAATTTTATTAAAATTTTTGAAATTCTCCGAAGAATTTTATTATTTAGGAAAATAATTGAAATCTTCAAAAGAATTTTATTTTTTATGAAAATAATTGAATTTTTAGGAAGAATTTCAAAAAAAAATTTTTAAATAATTGAAATCTTCAAAAGAATTTTACTTCTTATGAAGATAATTGAATTTTTGGGAAGAATTTTATTAAAATTTTTGAAAATAATTGAAATTCTTTGAAAAATTTTATTGATAATAATTGAATTTTTGCAAAAATTAAAATTTTGTGAAAATATAAACAATAATAATTAATTATGCACTTAATAAGTGAATTTTTTAAATTTTGGTTCTGAAATTATTCAAAAATTTAACATTTGCTAGTTAACAAAATAAAAATAGAAAATAAAAAAAAAATAACAAACGAAAAAACAAAATTAAAGTAAATAATAAAATACAAATAAAAAGAGAAAAAAAAATTCCAAAAGAGAAATAAAATCGCATCATGAAAATGTTAATGGAAAATAATATTTGTTATTCTAAAATACCTCGATAAATACCTAAAAAATAAAAAATGGTAATTTAAAAAAGAAAATTCGTAATAAATAAAAAATCGTTTAAAAAATAAATAGAAGAATAGAATAAATATTGAAATACAAATATTGTGAAATAATCGAACTAATGAAAAGTTTTCTAATGAACAATAATAATAAAATAAGAGATCAGATAAAATTTCGCAAATACACCAAAGTCGTGTTAGTCACGTATTTCCAATAAATTAATATACAACAATTACGCAGAATTTAATTGTTTCTCGTCGTTGATGTAACCACATTCGAATCACTGTAAGGTAGAACACCAAGCTGTTTAAAGGCAGGGCTTGGTATTCGAACTTAGAGTGAATCGCTTGTGGCTGTTCCTTCTTCGGAATTTCCATATATCTCTCGGTAGATTTTCTCTCTTCAATTTTCCTCTTCCTCTCTCTCTCTGTCTCTCTCTCTTTTTGTGTCGCCTGATGGAAACAAGGCGGAGAAATTTTCTTGAGAAGAAAAAAAGACGAGTGAAGGAAAAAAAAGACAATGGTGTGTAGGAATCTTGAAACTGAAGTGAATGAACCACCTGTGGCTCAAGAATAAACGAGTGTGTTTATTCTTACGTTTGAAAATCACATAAGCGTGTGAAGAAAAATAATTAATTTTAAGTTTTCTGAAAGGAGAGTTCATAAGGGCAATTTTCACCTGAACAAGCCTGTGGTGGTAGAGGGAAGATGAGGGTTGTTGAAGATTTTCTTCTCGCAACTGCGCAGCCTAAACTTTGAGGCTTGAAGCTGCGCAATTGTTGCATAAAGTCTGAGCACTCCATCAGTGCGACGTCCGCAAAATGCAGGTCGCAGAGGATTTGATTCTTGAATCTGGAAAAAGAAAATTATTTATTTTATTATTTTATTTATTGTATTGTATTTTTTTATTTTTTATTCCTTTTATTTCTTTTATCATGATTTGCTACAAACATTTTATTTTGTATTTCCCTGACTTTTCCCTGATTTCCAGACTTTTTCCTGACTCATTTTGCCTTTTTCCCTGATTCAAACAATATTCTGATTCACTTTAAAAATTATTAGATACTGAAAAAAATGTTCTATTACATTTATTTACGAATTTCTCTAATTGTAAAATTATTTTGAAAACAATAATGATGACTGAGTGATAAAATCATTATTTTATATTATAAGAGAATATTATTACTGTCACTTCTTCAAAATTATTTTCATCAATTCAATTATTATTTTTCAGAATTTTTAACTAAAATTTTTCTTTAAATCAATTATTTTTAATAATTTTTTGAAAAAGTTTTTAAATAATTTTCAAATCAATTTCTTTAAAATTCAATTTTACACGAAATTTTGTTTATTTGGAAATTCTTCAATTAATTATATATTAGAAAATAAAGAAATGAAATAATTTTTAAAAAAATTCAGTAAAACTTTTTCAAAAAAATTAATTCTGCAGAATTTTTAAAAGTTAAAAGTATGAAAAATTCAAATTTTCAAAGATTTTAATTTAAAACATTTTCAAAATTAAATTATTTCTTAAAATTTACGCTGTAATGCTTTTAATGTTCAATTATTACCTAAAATTTTAACTGAAATCCTATCTTTAATCAATATTTATTAGAAAATTCTACGAGAATTAAATTATTTATTTATTTCTTTATTTTACAAATCAATTAAATAGAAAAATAAATAATTTATTGAATAATTGAATGTTTCTCAAAAATTGAATTCTCATGAAGAATTTCAGCAATAAATTGTTAAATTATTAAATTCTTTCGGGGAATTTAAAAAAAAATTTTAAGAATAAATGCAATTTTCTATCATTTTATTTAAAATTGTATAAAAAATAATTGAAATTCTGCGATAAGTTTTGTTATTTATGAAAATAATTAAATTCTTGCAATGAATTTTATTAAAAAATTGTGTGAAAAATTTTATTTGTGATAATAATTGAATTCCATAGAAAAAAATTATTATTTATGAAAATAATGAATTTCTTGTGAAGAATTTAATTCAAATTTTTTCAAATAATTGAATTTCTTAGAATTTTTTAAAACTTTTTGAAAATAATTAAATTCTGTGGAGAAATTTCATTAAAAAATTGAAAATAATTGAAATCTGAGGAAGAATTAAAAAAGAATTTTTTTTAAATAATTGAATTCCTGTGAAAATGTTTATTTTTGAAAAGAATTGAATTCTTGGGAAGAATTTTATTAAAATTTCTTAAATAATTGAATTGCTTCGAAGAATTTTATTTTTTATGAAAAGTAATTGAATTGTTTCGAAGAATTTTATTTTTTATGAAAAGTAATTGAATTGTTTCGAAGATTTTTACAAACATTTTTGACAATAATTGTATTCCTAGGAAGAATGATATATTTTACGAAAATAATTGTATTCTATGATCAATTTTATTATATAATTTTTCAAATTTATAAAGCATTTTATCAAAATTTTTTTAAATAATTGAATTTTCGAGAAAAATTTTATTATTATAAATATAAGAAAAATAAATACAATTCTTCCTCTACGAGGAAGCGAAATATGTAATGCAAAGAAAAAGAATTTTTAAAATTTAATTAATAAAAAAGTTAGCAAAAAAAAAAAAAAAAATACAAAAAAATGAGTAAAATAAAATGTTTATTAATTTTTATACCTTCGTGCTCGTTTTTGATTCGGTCCTGTAAGATTGAGGCCACAGCTGTTACATCTTAGGCACTCCTCGTGATAATGGTTGTTGTCATATAATGGGGACGGTTCTGAAAAAAATATTCAAATCAGTACAATAAAAAAATTTTTTTTCAGGTAAATTTACTTTTTAGATTAAAATTTTTCATACGTTAATCTACTGTAGGTATTTTATTCGTTTCTACGTTCATTTTACTTTCTTAAATAATTTTGTCTAAATTACTTTTTATTTTATTTATTATTATATTGAAATAATTTTTTTATAGACTTATTTTTATTTTATTTATTGAAATAGTTTTTAAAAATTATTTTTGTTTTCATTATTTATATATTTTATAAATAAATTCGAATTGCTAACAAATCAATTGTAGGTATAGTAAAAAGATAAAATATTTACGTTCATTTATTGTACCTATTTTATTAATTTATAGTATATTTTATTTAGTTTAATTGATTTTATTTATTTCATTTATTTTGTTTACTGAATTAGTTTTTTAAAACTATTTTTAGTTTATTTATTGAAATAGTTGTTTTTAAAATTATTTATGATTTCATTCACATTAATTACAAATTGCCAAGAAAAAGGCAATTTTAAAATTATTTTTCAATTTCTCCTTTGTTTTTTTAAAATAATTTTTCTCTCTCGTGAATAATTTATTGCGCTTTTGCAAAAAACAAAAATAAAATGAAATTTATGATTTCTATATTTGGGTGTGGCCTTAACGTCTGTCTCAGAAGGGCTGTAAAGAATTCCAGTGTACGTGCGTTCAGGAATTTTGATATGAAAGGGAGAAATGTCCTGACTATATGAAGTGTTTAGCCTCAAACGGATTAATTTGCAGCCTCTTCCAGCGTGCTTGAATAATTACACAAAACTATATGTATTTACTTATATATAATATTATTATTATTGTACTAAAATAATAAATTTCTTTTCTTTTTTCTTTAAATTTCTGCCTGAATTCGAAAAAAATAATTTCTATCAAGAAAAATATTTATAATGAAAAATTTAAAAAAGAAAGAAATAATTTTAATTGATTCCCCCGAAAGAAGAGAAGAAAAGAATTAAATAGAAAATAAAATATTTTTTCCCAGCTCATGGAAGAAAAATGAAATTTAAATCTTCAATTGTAATATGTATACATATATATATATTTTTTTCTTCAGATGATTCATGAATAGCATGAATAAATTTGAAAACGACTCCGATCCTTCAGAATGTGTGAACATTTATACTTGGATATAGGCGAAGAGAAGAAAAGGATGAGTAATCACGAGATTCATGGCAACTTGAGAAAAAAAACTCTTTTGCCCTCAAATTTTTTTTTTTTTTTTTTTTTTTTTTTGACATTGTCGAGGTTAATGGTGAAGATATAATCTTTTCATGCCTCGATGTCTAAGAGGTATCTAAAGATTATAAATTATATAAGAAATATTAAATTTCTTTAGTATATAAAAGCGCGATCCTTGAAAACGAGAGATAATGACAGGCGATATTTTCTACACAATTCATGAAAAAAGAAAACAAAAAAAAAAGTTTTTAAAAACAGAATTCAAACAATTTTCTATTTTAGAATATAAAAAAGTGCCTGAATTCCATAATTAATAGAAAATAAATTACATGGTGAATAAATAAATAATAAATTGAAATTAATTAACTAACTGGTCTTTTCACAATAAATCCATTTATTTACATGGCTATAAGTGAATTTAATAATTATTTATTTTTATAATTCCAAGAGAGGATTAAAATTGACAAGAAAATATATTTTCTATTAAGTTTTTCTTTATTGATTTTGTATGATTATAAAAGTAATTCAATATAATAGCGCCTCGAGAAATTGATAATAATGTAATAATAAAAATAATAATAACCCTTGCACCCAATAAAAATAATATAATTATTATATATTATTAATTATTAGTTACATATTTATCATTTCTAGTAACAAATTAATTAATTTTTGTAAATATTATTTTCATAACACTTAATAAAATAAAATCAAACCAAAGTAACCGTATATTTAGACCTTTTTCTTACAAAGAAAAAAAATTTTTTTTAAATTAGAAAATAGGAAAATAGTAATAGATAATAAGAATGATAATAAAAGGAATAACAATAATTATAACACTCAGATTGAAATTGTATAAAAAACTAGATGAAAGAAGTGAGGAAAAAAACAAGAGATCAAAATGTATAGCCCAGGCTGATTCGATAAACATTTTTCGATTAAAAGCCCATTAAATGCGCATTACTCGGGAGGATTAGAGTATTAACGCGATTAAATTTCGAATTCAATCTCTATTCAAGGCACATGGTAATTTAACCGAGACTTTTAAGTCTTTGGGATTTAAAGAAAAATTCTTTCCATCTAAGAAAGTAAATTAAGTCTGTTCTTCAGAATAAAAGTGCGGCCATTGTCAAGAAGTACATTCTGTTTTATTCGATTTTTTTAATTATAAGTAGTAAAAATATGTTTTTGTCAGACAAAAGTTCTTAAATTTTGAGAAATTCATATTTATCAGTAGTACAGATCAATTTTGGTCAGACTAGTCAAAAATTTTACTGTTTTATTTGATTTTTCTATTGTAAGTAGTAAAAGTATGTTTTTGTCAGACAGAACTTTATTTAGTTTCCAAACATACATTTTCATAAGTAGTGCAGATCAATTTTGGTCAGACAAGAACAAAATTTTACTGTTTTATTTGATTTTTCTATTACAAATAGTTAAAGTATGATTTTTTCAAACAAAACTCTATTTAATTTCCAAAAATACATATTTACAAGTAGTGCAGGTCAATTTTGATCAAACAATAGAAAAATTTTACTGCTTTTTTTTATTTTTCTAAAAGTTTCCATATTTTTATTTTCAGTAGTATAAGTAAACTATTTTGATAAGTCGAATTGGTTATTTTTCACTATATTCAAACGTAAGTGGTATATGTCAATTGCACGTCAGACAAAATCGTTTGGTCTGTTTAATTACGAACATTTCAGTCTATCAGTAGTCGAAATCAGTATTAGTCAGACAGAATTTCTCTGCATTCACTATGAAAATATTTTTTTCGATTCAATATAATGAATAACGGAAATTAAATAATACAATCACATATGTGATAAGGATAGTAATAAAAAAAGAAAATCAGTGTTTAATACTTTTCCCATCAGCACAAGAAAAGGGAATCATGAATATTTGATTTAAAAATGGGATGAAAAGCTTGAGAAAATACTTTGCCACGAAGAATTTATATTCTCTGCCCTTTGTAAAAAAGACATATGAAATTCGATAAGACTACATTATCATTTTAAACAGACCTTCTCTTCGGGAAAAACAACACCTTCTTTGATATACAAAGGCATATAGTTGATGGCAAATATGTACGATATAAACTTGAATTTATTTATTTATTCAGACTTTATAATTACTTTCAATTCTCTCTTTCTCTCAAACACTCTCTCTCTCTTGAAATAGAGTTCAGTTATCTATAAATTGAGAATCATATACTTTACTTTTATATTCATTTCTAGGTTCTCTTTACAAGGACGTCCCTCTATATTTAATATCTGCATTAAAAATTATTCTCTCTTTTAAAACAATTTAAAAAATAAATTTTTTATATTTTACAACAATAATAAAATCTTTTCCAATAAAAATTTTATTATTTTACATTATGTTTATATAGGTAATACATCTAAAAAGAAAATTTAAAATACAATAAAAAAAATTGTAAATAAAATAACCATTAAAAATTAAAATTAAAAATATTTTTCTTTTTTCTAATTATATTTTGTTGAAATTTTTGTATTTTTAAGGTCGCCTAAATTGAATACATTAAATAAGTAATAAAAGAAAAATTAAATCAAAATTTTCGGAAAATTGAATAAGTGAAAATTTTAATAAAAGAATGAATAAAATAAGAAAAATTGAAAACATAATTGTAGGAAAATTAAAATTACAAAGGGAAAATAGCAAAAACACAATTAAAATCTAAAATAAAATGTTCAATTCTCAAAGTTAAAAAAAATTAATAAAAAAAAAATTTTTCTATTTTTAATTTATTATAATTCAAAAAAATAAAATTGAAAGAAAAATTGCCAATTATATTTTAAAATGATATATTTTACATAAAATTTGGCAATTAAAATTGCAAATAAAATTCCGAATAAAATTTTAAAAAAACAATTAGTTATATGATTAAAATTCAAAACCCTACGAAAAATAAAATAAAAAAAACAATAAATATATTCAGAAAAATGTTAATTTTTCACACGGAGGCGAATTACACAATAATTTGGTTTTAAATTCGTTTTTTGTATAAATAACCTCTTATAAAAGAAGTATTAAAGCCGCATGAAAAATTCAGAATAGATTGAATAAAAAGTTTAAAAACATGCATGAAAATATTATTATTCATGGAATAAAAATCGCCACGCAGAATAAATGGACAATATTAAAAAAAACTTTTAAATCAAAAATAAAAAAAAATGAACCAATATTTTTAACATTTTACAAACTGACACTTTTAAAAATTACACTTTTACATGATGTATAAAATAAAATAAAAAAATAAAAAAAAGATTACGATTAAAAAAAATAAAGTATTCAGTATAATAAATACATTATGAGACTTTTAAAAAGAGTTCATTGAACAAAATATAAGCAAACGAAGACACTATAGTTTTTTGCGTGTATAATATACATATAGGCAAAACGTCGCGTGAGCATGAAACATGAATAATTATCAAAATGAAAAATAAAATAAAAAATTACACAGGGTATAATAAAATCCCCAGGGTTTGTAAGAGAAATGCAAAAAAAAAATGGTTTGAAAATATACGGTGAAATATGTTTTGATATAAATTCATTATTATTCTTTTTGTTCTCTCTCCATATTCTTATGAATATAATAATTTAATTATCTCCTCAAGAATATTAAATAGAAATAAAAAATTGATTAAATTTAACTCCCATGAATTGTTATAAATAAGAAAAAAATTTTACAAAACCATATAATTTTTAAAATATATTTTGCTTGTAAACAAAGAAAATTGTTTCAAAAAGAATATTTT